GTTCAGGGAAGTCTTAGGCATGATCTTGAGAATAAGTAACTAAAATAAACATCATAGAGAAGAGCTAAAATGTATCCGATAGGTGATTAAAATCCCACCCCCTCCCCTTAAAATGTGACCTTACATTTTTCACAGTGTCTTCACTAGTTTCCCCTCTTTTATCTTTGTCGTAAACCCCTGCACCCAGACAGGAGGTCCCTGAGGAAGTGGGTTTGTGGTCTGGCTCACCGCCTGAAACCCTGTTCCTAGAAAATTCCCGGGCCCTCAAAAAACTTTTTGAAGAAATGAATGATTGGAGTTGAATCCTCTTTCAACACCTCCTAACTTTTCCACCTCTGGAACTTTTCTACTTACTTTTGGCAGAATCCATACTCTCAAGGATAGCACCTTGACCAACCAGAGAGGAACTGCAAACAGGACGAACCTACAATGGGTCTCGCGTGTAACTCCTCTCCCCAAATATACTGGCAGCGGCCTCTCCCTCCACCGCCGCTCCCCGCCTCCACCCCATCCAGGCTGAGTTGGGAAAGAAGGGAGACTCTCAAGGGTTGCATAAACCAGGCTCAAGCAGGGTTGCAGGGATACCTGGGCATCGTGGCCTGGTCGCCCCAGAGTCCTGATCGCCGCGTGGGGTCCACCCTAGAATCAGCCGCACTGCGAACTCGGAGAGAGGCCGGGTTGCGGCAGGGTATTGCGTTGCCATGGTAGCTACGTCACACTCACGGGTTGCGTGCGGAGTAGAGGCATCATGGGAAAGGTAGTTTTCAGCGTTCTTTTCGCTGAGACGTTTTGGATGGGAGAGGAAACTCGAGGCAGTAAATCTGGGACTTAAAAAACTCTGGACCGGAAGTGTTCTTTTATTTAAAAAATATTCTCCTGAGTACCGACTATTTATATGCCAGGGGTCTCTGTCTTCAATTACTTTTCTCTCCCCAGTAACAGTGATTTGGGAGTGGAGGACGAAACAATCTCCTGAGCTGTTTTCTAGTGATTTACTAGAGGCAAAGATTTTAGTATTTTCCACCCTTCTGTTTGTTTGGTTGTTTCAGATTTCGTAGAATAGCACATCGTTTGAAAGTGAGAGAAAATATTAGTTGCTTAGTCATGTTCGACTCTTTGCGACCCCACGGACTCTAGCCCGCCAGCCTCCTCTGTCCATGGAATTCTCCAGGCAAGAAAACTGGAATGGGTAGCCATTCCCTTCTCCACGGGATCTTCCTGACTCAGGGATCAAACCCAGGCCTCCTGCATGGCAGGTGGATTCTTTACCATCTGAGCACCAGGGAAGCCCAGCACATTGTTTATTAATAAGTTAATAAAGCAAATGCGTCTCTGTAATACTTCATTTACTTATATCCAAGTCAATAACAAACAATGAGTTTATTAATATTACCATTGACACACAAACTAATTAAAGGTAGCCAAAGATATAAACTATTGCAGAGATGTACAATTTACATAAGAACAGGTGACTAGGCCTAAAGGAGTTGGTGACACTTTCATGTCAGTGACAGTGTTTGATCTGTCTTGAATGCTAACCCAGGCTCTCTAGCCTAAGATGAGCTGATTGTTGGAAGCAGAAATTTCCCTCTACTGTTCTGCCATTTGCTTAGTCTCTATTGCGTGATGTTCAAGAATATGAACTTTGGAGTAAGATAGTTTGAAGTCCTGACTCAGTCACACTAAGTTGCCACTAGCGATAAATTACTCAATTTCTCTGAGCCTTAGCTTCCAATCTGGTAAAGCAGGGAAAAATTTGAGTTTTAAATGAGAAATATATGTAAAACATAACTTATGTGTGTCTGAAACACTATTTTAAGTGCTTAATACCTGTTATGGTAAGGTAACTGGATGATCAGCAGCTTTGAAGAAACACGAGGAAATGAAGCAGATGGAAATAAAAGGCATTAACTTCTGATAAAATCTTTGGGGACAAAATTCTCCCAATAGTTAGGTGCATTTTGGAGACACAAAAGACTAGTTACACATAGGAAGGGAAGTAATGGAGGGGAGTTCAACAGAGAAAGTATGGTGGCAAGGGAGGCTGATACATCATGGAGAGAGTGTCTATTATATATCCTGGGGCTAGCCCACCTATACTCTCACAAACTGATGTGGGACAAACTGTGACCCACTGCTCCTCTCCAGAGGTCTCCCAGTGCCAGACCTAAAGGTTTTTCCTACAGTGATCCTCTGATTATTTTTACTTCCCCTTGACCCCATATGTTTTAACAGAACTTTTAACAAACTGCACTTATTAAGAAATGTGTTTGCCCTGTTTTGTTTTGTTTTTGTTTTGTTTTGTTTTCAATAAATGACATGGCACCTCCTAGCAGGAAGGAAGCAGGGTTTCAACCCTGAAGTGTTACTGCAGTTGGCCTTTACTTGGGGTGGGGGCCTTTACAAGGGGACATTATTTACTCATTCATTAAATACTTACTATGGGATTTGTGTTCAGTTCAGTCGCTCAGTCGTATCCGACTCTTTGCGACCCCATGAACCGCAGCACACCAGGCCTCCCTGTCCATCACCAACTCCCAGAGTCCACTCAAACCCATGTCCATTGAGTCGGTGCTGCCATCCAACCANATGGACCTTTGTTGGCAAAGTAATGTCTCTACTTTTAAATATGCTATCTAGGTTGGTCATAACTTTTCTTCCAAGGAGTAAGCATCTTTTAATTTCATGGCTGCAATCACCATCTGCAGTGATTTTGGAGCCCCAAAAATTAAAGTCTGACACTGCTCCCACTGTTTCCCCATCTATTTCCCATGAAATGATGGGACCAGATGCCATGATCTTAGTTTCCTGAATGTTGAGCTTTAAGCCAACTTTTTCACTCTCCTCTTTCACTTTCATCAAGAGGTTCTTTAGTTCTTCACTTTCTGCCATAAAAAGTGACTTTCCAGGGTAGATGAAAATTGTTTAAGAGTATACAAAGATTACAACTTCTCTTCTGGATCAGCCCAAGAAGACTCAGATTTCAGTAGTGGTGATGGAGGAGATAATTTTATGCTGCTTGCTGAATGAAATGAGAAATTATGCAAAAGGTAAAGGTGTGGGCAGAGTATATTCGGTGACCTGTGAATAGTTTGGGGTAGAAGTGTCTGGTGGGGCTAAGGTGGGAAAATAAACTAGGCAGGGAGATTGGGCTACCTGCAATCTGGTAGCCCAACTGCAATCTGGATTTTACTGTATTGGTTATTAGAAACCAAATAAGATTTCAAATAGGGGTGTGCAATGACTAGACCTTCCCAACGAGTTGGCTGTTTGTATCAGGTGGCCAAAGTAGTGGAGCTTCAGCTTCAGCATCAGACCTTCCAATGAGAATTCAGGGTTGATTTAAGACTGGTTTGATTTCCTTGCTGTCCAAGGGACTCTCAAGAGTCTTCTCCAGCACCACAGTTTGAAAGCTGAAAAGACCCTTGTGCTGGGAAAGATTGAAGGCAAAAGAGAAGAAGGTGGCAGAGGATGAGATGGTTGGATAGCAACACCAACTCAATGGACTAGAACTTGGGCAAACTTAGGGAGGTAGTGATAGACAGGGAGGCCTGGCATGCTGCAGTCCATGGGGTCACAAAGAGCTGGACATGACTTAGCTACTGAACAATAACAACAACACGACTAGACCTTAGTTCAGTGAGATAATTTTTTGTAGCTGGGTGAAGGATGCTTCAGTCTGGAAGTCGTGTATGGAGGTTATTAACAATAACCCAGAAAGTGACAGAATTTTAATGTATTTTCCTTTTTTTCCAAAGTCACATAAGCTTATTGTGGGAAAAATAGTATACAGGAAAAACAAAGAGGGTATAATAAGCAAATGCCAGAAGGAACAACAACATTTTGATGTTTTTCATTCTAATCTTTTTTGCTATGAGCTGAGGTCTTACTGTATAATTAACATTCTGATTTCAACATGTATTTTCCTGTATCAATTTTTCAAAACACATAATAAACATAGCTTTGATGACTGCCTAAGGTTCCACTATATAGAGTTTTAATAATTAAGCACTCTCCTAATATGAGTGTTTAAAGTTAAACATGAGTTGAGCTAATCAAAATCCTTCTCTGGAATTTTTCAAACAAGCATTAAGAAAATCAAGTCATTCCCTCTCTGAGGGAAACTGGCAATATTTCCTGCTAAATGAAGTACTCTGTAGCAGTAAAATCCCTTTTTTCCTTTAGGGAAAAGAGAATAGGGGGAAATGAGGGGAGATGAGGTCCCTGCATGAACCAGTTAGTGGAAAAGCTGGTTCACCTTGTTAGTCCAGCTCCTCATTTTCACGTCCTCAGTCCCCATATTCCCAAAGCCTTTGGTCCGCAGGAATCAGCCCAGAGACTCAGCTTTCAGAAGTCCAAATTCCATGACAGCCAGGGGTGGGAGCGGGGTGGGCGAAATGTGTTCTTGGCATCCCACACACTTAAAGCCTTTTTCTAGAAAAATATGATTATCTGTGGTGGCTAATTCTTCAGAATTATGCTTCAGTACAATTATGGGCTACAAGTATTGTTCCAGGAACCTGACTACCATGTATTTTTTTCCTATGGGAAAAAAATGTCCAAACAACCACTAACAAACACTTTTTTCAAGCCAAGACTTTTTAAGTTGTGACTAAGTTTTCTTGTAAATTGAGAGTTAAATTCATTTCTAGGCTATGGCAGTGTTTGACTTTAAGGACACACACAGACACAAATCTAGAACATTTAAAATAAAATTTTAGACACAGTCCAATCAACTTACCTATAAGGGGCTTATTATGAAGTCATGGGAGAACTTCATGATTTATACATATTGTATATATGTCAATAAGCACATATACATATGATAATTACAATTTGTCCAAACAGCTTCTTTTTATATAGATAGAGTAAAGCAACAAAGACAAAGCATGAGTGCAGAAGGAGGTAATAACTACCATTTTCACTAGTAGTACACTTCAGCTTTGACAATGAAAACATTAGGTATTTCTTGAAGATTATTCAAAAGATAATGCTTGAAATGGGTTTTGTAAATCATTTATTATGATTGAAAGGGAGGAAAATGATAGGAGACAAATATTACAATTAAACATGTAACATTATTCTCTTATAACCAATCATAATAACATACTTTGAATTTTTAAATGGCTATATAAAAGTAATTTCCCAGAAAATAAAATTTTCACATCATCAGTTACAGAAAATTGATTTCTTTCCATCAAAATATTTTATCTCTGCTCTATCAAAAATAAATGCCAAGTCTAGGGTACTACCATTTAAGCTAAGCCTTCACTATTCATTTAACTTAGAAGATTTTAGGGGGGGCTTACCACATGGTGAACTAACTACTGCCTGAGAATAAAGTCCTCATACATATGTAACAGCTCTGCCAAGCCTCTGGCTCACCAACTAACGATTATTAAACGGTTTTCTGGGAACTTACAAACTCTACCGTGTCCCAGCCAAAAGGTGCCTGAGAGTCATCCCAAACTGGTGACCAGTTTATTCTCAAAAATTAATTTGCTTACACAGTGAGTGGCTGTGGCTCAAAAGATTAGGAGGACCAGTAAATAGCAATGTATTTCTCTGGGCGGTTTCAACCTTTGTCATTACCAATAACGCACAATCTTACTTGATCAGTGTATTTCTTGGCTCTGCTCTTTCTAAGGATGCTGACGTAGGATGGAACGTTTTTAAAAGGCTTAGTGTGAGAACAGTACATTGCCACAGGGAGAAAGCAGCAAAAAAGAAAACAAGAAGGCTCGCCAACAAATTAATTCAGCAGCTAACTTTTTTTCCCCAACTGGTTAAAAAAATACCATACACAAAGTGATAAATATATGTCCAAAATATAAATAAAAAATATTCTACACATAAATAAAATTAAGTATACTCCTGATTACTATTTCAATTAAACATTTTTACAATATAATTTTCATGTCTTATCACAGTTTCATTTTCATCATGAATAATAATAAGTACTTTATTTTGACACAAACTGGAATGTACTGACCATTTATGTAACCTAGGAAAGCAATAGGTTTCTAGACTCAACTAAAATTTATCTCCTTTGAAGAAGAGTTACTTTCTCTTTTCTTTAAAAAAAAATATTTTGGGGAATTTATTTTCAAACTACAATTTAAAAGACTGTGTGAAGCAAAGCTTTAAAATTTCTTTGTTTTCAAAGATATTATTATTTAACAAAGCAAGGTCAAGATGACCCAGCACCAATGGAATGAAATGTGGGCAATATTCCAGTGAACTTGGGTTATGTTGATAGCCAAGGAATGTCAGGAATCAATGTTTCATTTTAAGTTTTACACTCCAGTGATCTGAAAAGGTGACAGGGTATACTTTCTAAAACCACATTGGAGGTTCTGGTTACCTAGCGCCTGCTTTTTCACACAGTGATTCATAGAACTAAAAACTTACCCTTCAACACCACCCAGCAGCTGCTTCTTAAACTGTATACTCTACTTCTTTCTAAACACCGTATCATTAATTAAAAGCATATTTAATTATAGTACATAATTTTCTGGCAGTGAGCATGTCCAAATAATCAACTGGTTTGCCAAATGAGAGTTTGGCAAAATTCCCTTGAATCTCCCTTTCTAAAGATTGCTAGAATATTTTTTTTAAGAGAAAAAAAGGCTTGATGTGTCTGATGGCAAAGGAAAAGGTGATGGGAAAAAACGGCAAATTCTAACCCAGCTAAGCTAAAAGAAAATCAGCATGTGGGAAAATCTGTTTAGGTTTTATGTGTGTGTGTGTTTAAGTTTTATTACAAGCATTTATTTGAATACTTACGAATCAAATGGAAGAGAGTAACTCCCATTATTTTTAAAGAATGGACTACTACTGTGTGGGTGTCATGCTGCCAGGATGTAAATGAACTTATTTGGAGCTGATGCAGCCATTGCTTAGAGGACAGGGGGAGATGTTTAGGCCCCTGAGCTTTCAGAGCAAAGTGGGGCCTTTGGTTGGTCTGCTGCTTGCCAGGAGGGGCTGGCTTCCCATCACCCTGGCTTGGAAACCCTGGGTCTGAGCTGAGAGCAGCGCTGGAGCAGAGAGGTGGTGAACCGCCTTTTGCTGGTAGAAGTTGTTTATGTAGCTGGCGATCAAAAGGGTGATTTCAAGAATCTAAAACAAGAAAAGTGGAATTGTTATCCTCTTGAGAAGTTCTCATCATTTTCAAAAGACAGTGAAGGGTTGGCCACGAGTGCTCTCCATCTGCAAGTGCCCAGGCCACCAGAATTCCCTTTCAACCAGATCGAACAGTGGCGTACAGCTGACCCTTGAACAGCACAGGGCTTAGGGACCCTGACCCTCTGAGCAGTCAGAAATGTGCGTGTAACTCTGCAGTGCCCCTCTGCAGACACGGTTCCTCTGTATCCGTAGTTCCACATCCATGGATTCAACTAACCATGGGTCGTGTACTAATATAGTATTTACAATTGAAAAAAAACCTATGTGTAAGTGGACCTGTGCAGTTCATACCTGTATTGTTTGAGTCAACTGTACTTACACGTTCAGCACCATCTATTTTTCCATAACTTAAACCAGGAGAAAGTGGTACTTAAAAAAAAAAAAATCAAATTTAGTGGCAATATTAGGAAATGTGACAACAGTACAATTCTGTCAGTTATCTTAAATAGCCATACTTGTGAATACATGAATAAGAAATTCAGTGTATTGTATTAACTCTTTATTTAAACTGAAGTTTGCCATGATCTTCTGCACTTACTATCCGCCTTCACTTAAATATAGATTTAATTAAGAAACATATATGCCATTTTTTAAAGCTTCAGATTCTAAAAAAGTAGTCTCTTTTAGTTGATAATTTTAAGACAAAGTTTTAGAAAAATTAGTTTCTCATTCTTTTCCCTAAAATTGGAATCACATGTTAGAATGCAACCCTTTTATTTATTGCTGTTACTTAGAGACATTAAAACTACATAGCTTGTTAAAATTGTAAAGAAACAAGTATGTCTTAATTTTAAAACTTCACTCTTCTCATTAATGAGTCCATTAAGTGAATTATTCCAAGTAAATAAGATAATGCATATAAAATACCTGACAATAACAACTTACGGCAGGACCACTTATTTTGATCTCTCTGTATACCAGGCACTGAGCTAAACATTTTAGGTTTTAAAATTAATTAGTTAATTAGTTTTTGGCTGTGCTGGATCTGTGCTGCTGTACGGGCTTTGTCTAGTTGGGGTGAGTGAGGGCTAATCTCTGGTTGGGCTTCGTGGGCTTTTTGTTGCCGTGGCTTCTCTTTTTGCGGAGCATGGGCTCAATAGTCATGGAGCACGGGCTGAGGTGCCCCACAGCTTGCGGAATCTTCCCAGACCAGGGATTGAACCCATGTCCCCTGCATTGGCAGGCAGACTCCCAACTACTGGACTACTGGGAAAGTCTGGGCTAAACACTTCATGATTCCCTCATTTAATTCTTAATTCAGAAAAAAACAAAGGAACATTATACCATTTTTTAGATGAAGAAACCAAGGCTTAGGGAGATGTAAGCCAAAATTTGGACCTATGACTGTATGATTATAAGCAGTTTGTTTTCCCATCAAGAATTTAAGTCTTTGCACAATTAATATTTTAGTGTGAGAAAAACTAGCATAAAAAAGTTAGCATAAAGGCTTCTACTCACCTTGGGTTTTGCCATAGCAAAAATCAATTTCTCTGTTGGTTTGTCTTTTGAATGTGCATTGTTAATGACCACCATAAAATCATCTTGATAACCTCCAAAGGTCATTAGACTCTTGTATACATAGCTGACTATTAACCTCTTCAAAGAGAAGAAAAAAGTAAATATGTTATACACTATTTTCAAAGAAAGATGAGAGATGATTAATAACATATATCTCCATTAAGATGCTGATACAGATGGAAAACAACTGTAGATGGAAAATATTTTTAATTCTATACAGTTTCAAAAAGCAAAACTTGAATTTGCTGTGTACCAGTAACTATTTATGTAGCATTTACACTGTATTTGTCCTTAAAGATTTCTATCTGTCTATCTGCCTGCCTACCTACCTATCTGGTTGAACCATATGAACCTGATGCTTTTTTAAGGTAAAAAATGGTCAAATATTGGCAAATCCATGTAGTTCACCCTGATAAACAGATCTTGATATATGTAAACATAACCAGTATCAAGCATACTATTTCTTTTTTAACCTTCTGCTTCTTTTAACTTAACAGCATGTTATGAACATCTTTCCATGACACTGAACATACTTGCTATTGTATAAAATCATTTCAAATGATTTTATAGACATTTATTTAGATTTTATAGACACAGACATTATTTAACTAATCTATTGAAGAATATTTAAATTTTTTGTCACTATCTTACTCCAATGAATATTTTGGGACACATTTCATAATACCCTTAGAATAATTATTTCTATGGTTATAAACCTCAACAGCTAAAATTGCTATCTCAAAAAAGTAAGCCTTTCGAAACTCAGAAACATTATACCCATTTACATTTCCAGCATTTTGCAGTCTTGATAACACAGGATACCATCATTTGTTTGAAGCTCTGCCAATCTGATTGGTGACATGTAGAATCTCACTGTGTTAAACTAAATTTACTTGATTGATGGTGAGATTAACATTTAAAAATACATTTACTGAATATTAGTATTTCTTCTGTGAACTGCCTTAGCCCATTTGTCTATTGCTATGTTCATCATTTCTTTACTATCTGGAAAGACATCCACGTTCCTAAAGGATAACTCTTTGTCATACATGCAGCAGATACTTTTTCCCAATGTGTTACTAAAACAATTTTTAAAATATAATTCAAAGATGCCTAAAAGGAAAGGAATCTGTGTATTTAATGATTAGCTTGCAAGACCTGGAGCAGATCATCCCAGTACTGGACACCTCCCCTGTTGCAGGCCAGCAGTGTCAATCTCCTGGTCTGTATGCCCATCTCTCAGAATCAACAAACTGGTTTACTTAGCCAAGGTAACTCAATACTGGTGTAAAATTTTTTGTTGACTTTAAGTCACTGGCTTTATAATCTATCTTCAGATTATTTATTCAAGAACTAAAAGGCATTCAAGAAACATGCCATGCCGGGCTAAGTCGCTTCAGTCATGTCCGACTATTTGCAACGCTATGGACTGTAGCCTGCCAGGCTCCTCTGTCCATGGGACCCTCCAGGCAAGAACACTGGAGTGGGTTGCCATGCCCTCCTCTAGGGGATCTTCTCGATCCAGACTGAACCAATGTCTCCTGTGGTTCCTGCATTGTAGCCAAATTCTTTACCACTGAACCATGGGGAAGCCCATTCAAGAAATATAAACACCTTCAAAAGAGTTTTCAACAGTTTTAAGGAGAAACAGTAACTAAAACACTACAGGATAGTCTCATTTCCAAGAAATTCTCAGTGATCCTGACTATAGCCACAAGTAGGAGAGCCCACTACACCTACCAGGTGAATTGAGCAATCCCTGTCCACCAAGTTAAAAAAAGATTTTTTAAAAAGTAATCTGATATATATAAAATATGATAGAAAATAAAGTGAATTTCAACAAATGAATAAATAAAAATCACAGTTTGACTTTATAATTAACCATGTAAATAACTCTAAGATACGGTATATGTACAAGTGAATGCATAAGTGATATTATGGCAAAGTATAGAAATTGTTACAGAAGCTTCAGTGAAACTGAACTTAAAATTTTGCTAACTAAAGTTTCTACCTTAATGTTATCTTCAAGAAATATCTTAATGTTGTCTTAATGTTATATCTTAATGTTATATCTTAATATTATCTTCAAGAGATATGTTATCTTAATGTTATTTTACACAGGAAGCCATCTTCTGAACACTATAAATAAGTGGTCATTTTACAAATACAACCGTGACTGCAATTTAGTCATGGTATCTTAATATTTTTCTCATACATAATACATAGCCTGTCTAATCTTGTTTTAAAAGATTAAATTGTAATAATGGTTGTATCTATAAAATGACTTCATGATATAGTATTGGGAAGGATATTTTTCTGTGTATAAGAAAAATAAGAAGGTATCATTACCTTCTGTTTAAGGCACACTGAGCAATGGAAATAGTTGACTCAATGCAAAACTTAAGGATTTAATCTTACCATGGAGTTGTATTCTAAGATGCTTAAACCATCCTCATGTATAGCCAGCCACATGAACGTACTTCCAAGGGATGATGGGGTTATGGGCTATGAAGAGGTGAAAATATACTATATAATAGATGCTAAGCAAAATTACAAAAATGTTTTAGTCTAAATGCAGTACAACATTTCTAAGAACCACAGCAACAACACCTTATTATTAAAAATCTCACTTGAGTAGACAGGGTGGTATAATGGAAAGAATAGTGAATTAGGAGACCCAAATTTGAGTCTTGAATTTGGGTTTGAGACCCACATCTGTCATTTATTAACATGTGTATTTGGACAGGCCACTTAACCTAACCCCTAGCAGAGTTTGCCTCTCCTTCCTCAGGGTCATGTCATCTTAACCATCAGTGGTTTCCAGACCTATTGCAACACTGGTTTTGAGTTCCTGAAAAGTGTGAGAATAACTTATCTGAAACTATGGGCTTCTGTATCCCTAGAGCTCAGCTCTGTGTTTGGCAAACAAAATTCATAATTACCAAATAATACAAATGAGTGAGAGAGTAAATGAGTGGATGGATGAATGAATAAAGAGAAGAAAGCAGAGCTAAGGGGCTGTCTTCAGTCTACTGATTAAGCCTTCTGAGTGTAAGAAATTATTTTGGCAGGGTACATGGGAACAGAAGGGAAAAGGCAGAGATACCGATCGCTTTCCTGCTCTTTCCTCAGTGTCCTGTCATGGTTTTCTTTCTATTGTTGAAAATTCCCTTATTTTCCTTTAAAAAGTTGAATATACTAAACCTGGGGTCACGGTTATCACTTTATATTCTACTAGACTGGATAGCCTCCCCCTACCATTTCTTACTTTTGCAAGAAACAACTTGGCACCAAAGAATGGCCACTTCCTGGCGACTGTCAAATAGATTCGCACACAGTCAGCAGCACTGTGTCCTCGGAGGGCCATCCATCTGGTTGACAGTCGCTGGCAAAGCTGCCTAAAAAAAAAAAAAGATGAACAAAAACACAAAAGAAAAACACAAACGATGTATCATCCTCCCGAGATAAAGCTCTTGTTGAGCCAATCCTAGACACCACTGGGAGACCTACTCAGGGGGACGCTCCCCAGGGGGGACCTACTCAGGGGAAGCTGAGGTTTAGTGGCAGCCATTCTGACCACTGTCCGCCCCTTGTCCCCTGTGTAGCAGTCCTTTCACCAAATTCCCCTGTTAGTGCTCTCAGTATGACCTAGGTTCCCTGCTCCCCACTCCCTTCAGGTAAAGATTTAAAATCTGATAAGCTAACATCAAACCTTTGCATAATTAGCCTAGACTCTCATGGGAATAACTTTCATTTTTAAAGAAGTACAAGAATTGGAGACTTAAGAATGACTCCCCAAAGGTGGAATTTAGGTGCTACCACTCCTGGCTTAGAGATGCTGGGTGCAGGGGAAACCTCTTAAATAAAATCATGAAGGCAACCACTTATTCTCCAGAGACAACAGACTAATCACAAATGTTTCTGTTTTAAAAAACTTCATGGTGAATTGGATTTGCCTCTATTTTTGAATCTATGCATTTTCTTCGTAAGTTTTCAAAAATCAAAACTCCAAATTAGTAGAGTGGAATTAAAATTTTTTATTAAAAAACTTTCTGTAAGAAAATACTTTATTTTTATTCCCATTTGTTTATAATGTAATACCCTAAGAGGTAAAAAATTTTTGGTAAACATTTCATAAAATTAAACATATTAGCCAATTTTTCCTTTTATTTATTAGCAAGACTAATTTGGACAAGAATGAATAAGATCAAATAAAAAGAATATCTTAAGGCAGATTTTTTTCTTATTGAAAAAGTTTAAATCTAGCTACTAAAGTTTCCAGACACATCTCAAATAAAAAGAACTATAACCTCTTGGTATTCAACAGTACTTTAAAAATCTTGAGCAAATCGTTACATATAATTTTTTTCATCTTTAATGATAACAATGCATTGTAAAACCTTCAGAAGGAAAGGAGAATGTTTTTGTGGACCATATGTTTTGTGTGTGGTAGTTTAAGTTATTAGTTTTTAAAATCAGTACTTTTTAATGAAAACAACTTGACCAAAAATCTGTCACAGAATTTGAGACGCATTAAAAAAAGTTTAATGAGAAGAAAAAAAATTTTGTACAGAAAAATATCACTGAAAAACTAGTGCCCTTTAAATAGTTCTTTACCTTAGCTGTTCTTCAGAAGAGTCATCTCTATACCTTTTAGGATAAAATTTCTCTATGACTTGTTTTAGAGTTTGATTTGCTTTGCACTGATTAGTAACATGACCTGCTGGAGTGGAAAAAGGTCTTTCAAAATCTCCAATCTCCACCTAATTGGAAACCCAAAAAAGAGAAAATAGAGGATATTTTAAAAGAATTTTTAGAAAGAAAATCAGTTTTATTTTTTTCTAAGCACTGTATCATACAACATAGAAATCTATTTGTCATGATCGTGTGATTATGGAATTTGTAATCTATATAAATACTATTATTTAAATCTAAATTTCATGTGAAGTTTAACTATGAGACAAGTCTACAGTTTAAGCATTCCCTGTGGGCTCCCCTCGTGCTCAGCTGGTGAAGAATCTGCCTGCAACGCAGGAAGTGAAGGTGAAAGTGAAGTCCCTCAGTCTTGTCTGCCGCTTGTGACCCCATGGACTGTAGCCCACCAGGCTCCTCTGTCCATGGGATTTTCCAGGCAAGAGTACTGGAGTGGGCTGCCATTTAGGTTTGATTCCTGGGTTGGGAAGATCCCCTGCAGAAGGAAATGGCAACCCACTCCAGTATTCTTGCCTGGGAAATTCCATGGACAGAGGAGCCTGGCGGGCTACAGTCCACAGACTTGCAAAGAGTTGGGCACGACTGAGTGACCAACATGATACGATATAGTTTCATTTCTATATTAATCATCCTAGGTTAAAATCTGATAGTATAATATTTGCTCAAGGTCACTTTACTATTGCCTGTAACAGCACTCTAATTTTTCATTTTAAAGGTACAATTTTGGTTGGTGATAATAAGGCAAAATAGAAGTTAGAAATAAAAAATAGATATAAAGCTATGAAAAATCTTTTAAAAGTATTATTTGCACTTTTTAAGGGTCTCTACTGAATATAATGGGAGCAAGTACTACATTCTCATCACTTCCTAGATTTTCTCCATAAATGTGACTGTATGCATCCCCTCAAACTATTGTTCCATTTGTTCTGGAAACAAAGCCCTTCATTACCTTTTTTCCCTGAATGAAAGAATGTTTAATCCTTATTTCTATTAACAGACTACACAGATGCCACCCCTCTACCAACCCATCAAACCATCCATCCATCCATCCTTCCCTCTCTCCATCCACTCTCCCACCCATTCACTCATCCAACCTGTACTGAGTTCTCATTATATGTCAGGCACTGTGCTAATTTATATGAGAAAGAAAAAAGTTGAGCACAATTCCTGTCCTCAAAGAGTTTACTGTCTAGTAGAGGAGACTGAAGAAAAAATATATACTTGTGATAAACTGTGTTAAATGCTTTCTTTGTATATGGTACCAAAGAGGGTTCAATGAGCAAGATGGGATGGGAGGCACATTGAACATCCACATCCTTACCTATAACACACCCCAACAAGCAGATGGAGGGTTCCATCATGACTGAGATGGTCCTACAGAAAGCACTGGTTCTCCATCTCAAAAGGGTTTCTCTGTCTCCAGGTAAGCTGTTGGCACAACATGCCTCTGAGATTCTGACTCCTGTGACTTCTCTTATCTAGTTCTTACTCTGACCAGCTACTGTCTAAATTCCTCAGCTGAGCTTTGCTCTTACAATCAATTATTATAATTTTCTAGGTTCCCTGTTCTTGGTTTGGCTTTGCTGTTCAACGTTTTCACTCCCATCTCCTATCTAATCAGTTGTTGTTTAGTCGCTCAGTCCGATCCAACTCTTTGCGACCCCATGGACTGCAACACACCAGGTTTCCCTATTATTCACCATCTCGTGAGGTATTATCCTAATTTCCTCACACCAAATAAAAGTTGTCCATCTGCTCTTCAAATACACTGAAATCCTGCCCCCAGAGCAAGCTTTTCATTGTCCCCACCTATCAGCAGGCAGTACTCAGCACAGCTAGCTGTGAACCCTCAGACCAGGATTTAACCTCCAAGGATATGGCAGTTGTACAAACAATAGTTACAAACACAGTAAGCTATCTAAGGCAACCCTGGCTGTTAGGGAACCCTGTAATGGAATATTCAAGTTCAAGGTCAATCTCTCTGGCCCCAGGCATACTGTGTAGCACAGAATGATCACAATAAATGTTTGGAGGATTAACTCCAAATATTTGGAGAGTCAACTTAGGAAGCCCCCTAGGTGGTATGAGTGGTAAAGAACCTGCCTGCCAATGCAGGAGACATAAGAGACGTGGGTTCAATCCCTGGGTCAGGAAGATTCCTTGGAGGAGGGCATGACAACCCACTCTAGTATTCTTGCCTGGAGAATTCCATGGACAGAGGAGCCTGGCAGGCTATAGTCCATGTGTCTGTGTTAGTTGCTCAGTCGTGTCCGACTGTGTGCAACCCCATGCACTCCTCTGTTCGTGGAATTCTCCAGACAAGAATACTGGAGTGGGCTGCCATTGCCTCCTTCAAAGGAGAAGTCCCTGGGGTCACACAAAGTGGGATACAACTTAGCAACCGAGCATGCATGCTTTCCCCATATCCCTCACATCAACGTAGCACATTACCAGACACCATATACAATAAGAACATCAGCTCCAAGAACTTCCTGATTAAGACAGAGGATGTCAACAAGGACCTACAAATCCTCAAATTACAACAGATAACTTTATCTTCTACAGAGCTCAGATTTCCTTAGTATACTTCATTTACCTCCGCAAAAACTACTCTGAGGAAGTGATCAGAGGTATTATTTACTTTTCCTTTTGTAGATGGAGAAATTATACTTTTTAGTTAGTAAAGCACTCAGAATTTACTAGATGTATCGTTTTACCTTTCTACTCCTTTCACAAATTCATCTAAAATTTTAGAAGTATGTATCACCAAAGAATGTGATAATTTTTCCTGGAGATAATATTTTCTTTTCCCACAAAATTAAAAGTTAAGAAAATGAACTTAAATTTTAGCAAAAATGAAAGTGCTTTTAACAGAGCATCTGTGACGTTAGAGAATCAAAGCCTAGAACAGCACATAAGAAATTACTCCTAATCCTATCATCAAGAAAATATGTGACTTAGTTCTTTCCTCAGCTTTTTATCACTGCAAAAAGGGAATACTTAGTGCAGCATGAATGCTTTAGAGTCTGATGACCATAAAGTTAATATGAAAGTAAACTAAATTATCAACTATTCATGCATCCAAGAACATGATAGAGAATGAACTGTGTGTAAAGCACTGTGCTAGATACAAAGACGAATAAGGAGAGCCCTTGCTTTCAGAAAGGCCACTGGGGTCAGGACAGTAATAGATACGTGCAAGGCATTACCAAAACCTTAAGAGGAACATTTAACCCATCCAGGAAGAATTCAAGAAGGGTTTCTGGTATGAGTGACACCCAAGATAAAAATGAAAGGATCAGCTGAAGTTAACAGGTAGAGGCATGGGATTAGAGGTGTCTAAACAGAGGAGACAAACAAGTAAAGCATAAGAGAAAAGAATAAGTGAATCATATACAACTCACGACCATAAAGTTCAAGGTAGAGAGCATTAAGAGATGAGGCTGGAGGGGCAAGAAGAGTTTAGATCATGACAGTCCTTCCATGTAAACAAGGGAATGACATGGTGATTCACATTTTCTTCTGCATCTCCTTTCCAGTTTACTGTATTATCAGTGCTGCCTGACAAACCACCAGGGCACAGTTTCTAGGCCCAACCTTAGGAAAATGGCAGCTTCCACATATTGTCTCTTCTGGGACACTGCTCGTCACCCCACCTCCATTCTGTGAGGAAGCACAAGCAGACACCTGAAGAGGGGACAAGCAGGTGTTCCAATTGACGTAAGTTCCAAATAACGGCCAGCATCAGCCACCAGATGTGCGAGTGAAAAAGTTGGCTTAAGACTCAACATTCAGAAAACTAAGATCATGGCATCTGGTCCCATCACTTCATGAAAAATAGATGGGGAAACAATGGAAGCAGTGAGACACTATTTTTCTGGGCTCCAAAATCACTACAGATGGTGACTGCAGCCACGAAATTAAAAGACACTTGCTCTTTGGAAGAAAAGTTATGACCAACCTAGACAGTATATTAAAAAGCAGAGACATTACTTTGCCAAAAAGGTCCATCTAGTCAAAGCTATGGTTTTTCCAGTAGTCATATGTGGATGTGAGAATTGGACTATAAAGAAAGCTGAGCACTGAAGAATTGGTGCTTTTGAACTGTGGTGTTGGAGAAGACTCTTGAGAGTCCCTTGGACTGCAAGGAGATCAAACCAGTCAATCCTAAAGGAAATCAGTCCTGAATACTCACTGGAAAGACTGATGCTGAAGCTGAAACTCCAATACTTTGGCCACCTGACGCAAAGAACTGACTTGCCGAAAAAGATCCTGATGCTGGGAAAGATTGAAGGCAGGAGGAGACGGGGTCACAGAGGATGAGATGGTTGGATGGCATCACCAACTCGATGGACATGAGTTTAAGCAAGTTCCGGGAGCTGGTGATAGACAGGGAAGTCTGGCATGCTGTAGTACATGGGGTTGCAAAGAGTTGGACACAACTGGGCGACTGAACTGAACTGGCAGATCGAACAGAGGCAGTGTCACAGTGAAGATGCAAATGTGAAGAAAGAAAAAGGAAGAAAATTAGCTCCTGATATGCTGAACTTAAGAAGCCCATGAAAGCAATATGAGCTGAGAGAAAAGATTTGGGAATCATGGGCATTGGTTGTAGATAAAATGAAGAGAATGACTAAGATGTCCTGAGATGGTAGGAGTGAGAAGACCGAAAACGCTGGGGAATCTAAGCCAATAACACACCATTTTCCCTTAATTAAAATGTGCAGAGACCCAGGTGGGGTAGAGACTGCACATTGCCTCTCATGACCATTCTCTTATCTTTCTGAGTAATGAAAACTTCGCATTTTTTAAGGCTCATTGCTGCCCAGCTGAGACCACATTTTCTAGTCTCTCTAGTAGGTTGGCAAGGTCAGGTGACTTAAGTTTGACCAAAGAAACATAAATGGAAGCATTCTACATAACTGCTAGGAAGATTCTCAAAAGCAGGAAGGCAAGCCCTTCTTCAGTTCTTCCTCCATTCTGATGCCTGGAACACTGATGTAATGGCGGGAGCTCTGGCAGATCCCCAGGACCATGAAAATGTCGGCAGAATGGAGGAGAGGACAAAGCACATGTCCGTCTTGACTACAGACACACCAGAATGCCTATCTCCCACTGGGGAGGGGAAGATTTCTCCCCGCTAACCATCTAGAGAACTTCAACTCGGTCTAATGATTAAATTGACACCAGACAGATTATCAGGAGAAGTGAACCAGCTGAATGCACAGAGGTCTCATAGATACGCTGTATGCATGCCAAGTCATTCTAGTCGTGTCTGACTCTTTGCGACCCTATGGACAGTAGACCCCTTGGCTCCTCTGTCCATGAGATTCTCCAGGCAAGAATACTGGAGTCGGTTGCTGTGTCCTCCTCCAGAGGATCTTACCAACCCAGGGATCGAACCCATGTCTCTGCATCTCCTGCACTGGCAGGCAGGTTCTTTACCCACTGAGCCACCAGGGAAGCCCGCTTATAGATACAAAACCCCTGAAATGACCAAAGCAAGCTATTTATATATCATTTTTAGACAAAGAAACAATTATTTACCAAGATCTAACAAAACAAAGAGGCTTGTGTTTGGGGTAGAAGACTAGTGAAGTAGTAACTTCAAAAGTTGCTTATACAACTTTCTTAGCCTTGAATTCCCTAACTATTGACAAGGATGCTTTCTATCCTCCTCCGACAGGGAGGATACCTTCACATGGGAGATTTCTTTTCAGCTTTTAGGGCAAAAGAGGGAGGTCAGAGTGTTTTTTAAGCATATGTCATTTTTTTCCACCAGTTGTTTCTAAAGTAACTTTAATTCAAAATAATCAACATGCCACTGAGGCATATTTGGGGGCAGACTGCCCTGAAACCCCAACACTTTCTATCTGAGGGTCAAATATTACCAATATTTCTTTTTTGATTGTCACTATTAATTTGCATGTGCAGTTTATAGTCATCTTAATTTAATCTTAATTGATATAACAGGCAAATATCAACAGAAGAAAATGTTTTAGCTTTTTAAAGACTGATCTTACTTGTTTACTGTACATTTTCAGCAAGGCATCCACAACCCCACAGCTCAACACTCAAAATCCTTTATTAAATGCAAAACCTAGTGGGATACTTTCAAGACAATTAAGAAACTAGGTTCTCTTTATGGTACATTGTCTCATTCTACATCACCGCAGTTGTCAGCAATGGGAGTCAAACTGTAATTATAATGCCTGTAATTCTTAAGGTGTTAATCACAGCAAATTGAATTTAAAGAATTATGAAAAGTATATTGTTTTAGTATGTTTAATTCGGTGAAGAAATTAGCATTTTATCTTTACAAAATATTGCTCTACATAACATGGAAGGTACCTGAGCTAAAAGAGCTGCCATTTCTAATGCCAGGTCCCTGTTCAGAGGAAAAAGTCCATTTACTATTTGGTCATTTGTCTGATACATCAACAGCAACTTTTCTCTCTCAGTCTCTCCTCGAACTTGCATTGAGAAATATAATCTGTAAAAAAAGAGGAAATTTTTCATTAAATGATATACTTACAAAAGAAGAAGGTAAAGAGAAATCCAGAGGACTGATATGGGGTTGTTCTAACAATAGTTCTCTCAGTGATACAAACATTACGATCTGTTGATGAACTCTGTTTCTATTCTTTATAACATTTACCAGCAAACTGAGAAAAACTGCTCTGAAGCTGAGGTTGAGGGGTGCTTCTATGCTATTTTTATGCCCTGAAATACCTTAGCTGCTACTGAGGAAGGACCTGACACCAGTGGGCTGTATCAACCCAATTTTAAAAACACTCCTGATCTTTCCTACACACCTTGGACATAACAGGGAATAGGAAATGAAGGTTTCAATTAAAAATCAATATCAAATGGTCAAACGGGGGCAGTTTTCTCCAGGAATCTAAAAGATGGTACATCTATCTAAAAGTAATTGCACATTTAAATGTTCTTTTTTTTTTTTTGCCACATTCTGATAAGCAGCCCTAGGATCTGAAATATAGTTTACATGCTACCATTATTACTTGTTGAAATATGATCTGGCTTTTGTTCACCTAGGTCTTCATTGATTCAGTGACCTTCTGTATTTAATCACTGTACTGTTTCTTTGTTCTTTTAAATTTTATTTATTTATTTGTGTTGGATCTTAGATGCATCATGCAGAATCTTCTTTGCACCATGCGGATCTTTCCTTGTGGCATGTGGAGTCTCTCTAGTTGTGGTGCACCAGCTTAGTTGCCCTGCAGCATGTGGGATCTCAGTTCCCCAACCAGGGACTGAACCCGTGTCCTCTGTATTGCAAGGAAGATTCTTAACCACTGGACCGCTAGGGAAGTCCTGGGCCACTTCTTTACATGAGGTTTCTGAGGCTCTGACTCTAGGCTACAGAGCAGGCAGAGAGCCCTGTAAACACTGTAAATGCTGCGACAGTGGGGCGGGTGAGCAGCACGGTGACATGCCTTAACACTGTCATGACAACACCGTGGCAGGAAAAGAGAGATTTAGATCCGACATTTGTCAGGTGTGTGCTCAGTTAACTGTAACTGGATTTCCAGCCTTTTTTCCCCCATCCACTTGAAGAAGAGGACACACTATCATCAGTTACAAAATTTCTCATGGTAATTATCTCAAATAGCAAGAAATGAGAGGGCAGCAGGCCAGAATCTCAGGGGAAGCATGGGAAGGGGGTGTACTTTGAAAAGCTCTTCTTCCCCATCGTTCTGATAATTCTTTCTGCTCACGCCAGCTTAAGAGTCACTGGCCTGGCCCATTATTCAGAGTGATTTCTTGAAAAAAATAATTATCTGTGTCTGCATGATGGCAAACTGTTAACTGGTAGAAGAACATGGTTGGGTAACAGAAATAGATTCTAAATTCAAAATGATGTCAACAAAGGGATATAGAACAAAAAGAATAAAATTTAAGATGAAAGCCCTCCTTTTCTGGCATGTGAACATTTTTGTAGCATATTTCCTTTACTTGAAGTTAAGAACTATGTTTTATTCATCCCTATCATGCACTAGGGTTTATTTAGCTAAGTGTAGCCACTGGAAGGTTCTCAGTAAAAGTGTGAATTGGTAATACAATAGGAGGGAGAAAAGAACTAAATGTTCAGATGGCTACAGACAAGAAGATCTGAAGGGTATCTTCTATCATTTGTGGCTTGCCAGTGAGACTGCACCTGGGAAGGGAAGATGAAGCAGAATGGGCACAAAAGAGAAAAACAATTCCAGACACACACACAGAAACACAACTTGTAGGAATCACAGGCTCAAGCCCCTAATGGAACAGCCTGGGCTCCAACAACTATACAGGGATTTGGAGAGAATGTGGAGAGGAACTAACGAGTCCCCCAAATGACAAAGAAGTTAAAAATCAAACCCACGGATCTTGAATAGGAAAGGCCCCAGGGAACACAATCTAAGTCTGTCCCAATATGACTAGCTTCCAACTGCTCCCCAACCCTGAAGGGGTCGGAAGCAGAGAAGTGGGGCTTCTGTCACAGCAGGAGGGCACATGATGGCTGGCAGGGGCATTCCCAAATGTCCTCACTTGACATCGAGGAAACTGAATACTGTGTGATGGAAACCACATCACTATGTGGACCAGTATCAGCAAACACACACCACTGCAAATGGGGCAGAGCTCTCCCGGTACTGCTGGGTGGTCCTTTAGCTAGCCTCCAACCAGCTCCAGATTTCAGTCCTCAGAGCACGTTGTTTCCTACTGTTGCCTTTCTCATCACCACGTAAACCATGGCCTGCTGATAACACTACAAAACCTGCCATGTGACCCGTCCCCCTTTTCCCTGTTCTCCCCCGGCTTCTACGGCCACCACCTCTAGTCCTGTGCTCAGGAGTCATCTACTGCAAAGCCTTCCTCTCTGCTCCCACAACATCTTGCACATAGACATGTTATATTCACCGTAAGAGTGAATATCATTGGGGCATCTACTGTGTAAGCAGGCCCTGATCCAACTGCTTTACACCTGCTAACATTTAGTCCTCCAGGTGACCCTAAGTAGGTACTGTTTCCATCTCCATTTCACGTTGAGGGGACCTGAGGCCCAGAGATGGTGAGTGACTTGCTCATGGCCACAGAGTGAGTGGGGGAGCCAGGATGCTAATCCAGCAGTTTCTCTCTGAGGCCATGTTCTTCACTGCTCCGCTAGAGTGTGACTGCTACGGCATTAGTCTCATTACTAAGAATTCATGACTTACATGAGCTGTAAGATTCTACAAGGCAGGAAACATCTATTCACTTTTGAATCTCTAGGGCTTCAATAAGACCTGGCACTGGCAGACACTGGAGAGATGTTTATGGCATGAATGGATAAATGAATGGTGGTGAGAATTGAAAAATATGGAAATTATTTGCCAGAAAAACCTGGAAAAATCCTTCTGTAGCCTTGGGTAAGTGGTTTAACTCTCTAAAGCTTCAGTTTCCTTATCTATAATATAGAGATGATGATAATACTACTGAGAGGTGCTGTTAGGATTAAATGAGATGATGCATATAAAGAGCTCAGCACAGGGCCTGGTATATGGTTAAGTGCTCACTAAATACTGGTGGTAGTTATTATTACTACTACTATGATAATGATTCTTCTCTAGAGGTCTTTAGACTCACAACAGTCTCTTCATACAGGAAGCTTTTTTTTTTTTGGCATGAACACAGCTGGAAGAAATGGGATAAACTAGGTGACCTGTCAAGAGGCTTCTTGGTTTAGGATTCAACATTCATGCTCTCACAGTGCACTAAAGGTGGCGAGATGGGAACCTTAAACTATGATCCAGAGAATAATAACAACACAGAATTATTGATAATAAACTTTTGTTTCAAAGAAGGGAGAAAGAAGAGCTGTTCTCTATAGGGAAAGACCCTTGCCAGCTTAGTTTTGTTAAAAACATGCCTTGATTTTGGAATTTCAAATAGACCATAAGAAACCAAATTAAATAAGTGGTTTATTAATAGATATGAGTAGAATTTGAACATTACCAAATAGTTTTATTACCAAAGTTTTCCAAATGAGAATAAGTTCAAAACCTATTAATTATATCTTTAACATCTAATCTAAATAATTAAAATTCTATACCTTACTAAACATAAATAAAAATTCCATGATAAAGAGAGGCGGTGCTTTAGTTTTGCTTATCACAATGCTGCTTGACAGATGAAGAATCAAGTCTGTAGCTGTGTGGTAGGTCACAGCCAGTTCCCCTCTTAACTGTGTCACTGGGCATTAGGGCTCATTTCCTAAGCTATTTATACACATATGCAAAGCATGATCACATTTAGAAACAGTACTTTCTCATAGCTGTGGCTACCCAGCCATTTCAGATTTCTGTTAAAGATTAAACCTTATAGTTGAATTGCTTTTCTTCTGATGTTAAAGATACTGTCATGAAATTGTTTGTGTTTTTTTTCTTTGCTAACAAGGCAATGTGTTATTCATGACTGCCTTTGTCCTTCCTGGTGGAATTTGCTAGAGCTGGCACATTATTCTTATGTCTCTTTCAGACCACCTTTCTCCATTTCATCCATTTAATTTTGGTTCCAACTGTGGCCATCATAGTCAAAATCAGTATGTATTCAGCATTTGTAAGATATGCATTATTAGCAATAGTCTTAGACACAGACATAATTCCATTTAGTGCCAACAAAACCAAATGAGAATTCCTGACCCTCTTCTAAATACATAAAAAAACCAAGCAGGTCAGGTACAGGCGCTGGCTTCCTTCCACTAAAGATACAGGCAGCAACATGGACCTCTGGATCAGTGCTTCTCCAAACTTAGCATGAGTAAGAATCACCTGGAGAACTGTTAAAACACAGACTCCGGGGCCTTTTCCCCAGAGATTCTAATTCAATAGGTTCTGAAGTGGGACCAAATAATGGGCATTTCAATATGTTTCCATGTGATACTGAAGCTGCAGATCCAGGACCCACACTTTGAGAATCACTGCTCCCAGCGACCACAGAACTAAAACAATCATCTAGAAGGTCCTAACTTCCAGCTGCTGTTCCATGCCAGTCATGAAAGGGCCAGGGTGGAAACATTCCTCCAGGACGAGAGCCTGTTCAATTTTTACTACCTAAGTAATCCAGCATATCTCTAGGAGCACAGGATTTTAAAATCTTAGATACCAAAGCTCAGCAGTCACTGTCTCATATCCCAGAACTCTTGTGAATCTACTCAGCTCATGAATCCCTGAACAGAGAGGCTCTAGTGGCTCATGTGCTAAGTCGCTTCAGTGATGCCCAACTCTTTGCGATCCTATGGACCTTAGCCAGCCAGGTTCCTCTGTCCATGGAGTTGTCTAGGCAAGAATACTGGAGTGGGTTGCCATTCCCTTCTCCAGGGGATCTTCCCGACCCAAGGATTGAACATGTTATCTCTTAGGTCTCCTGCACTGATGGGTGGGTTCTTTATTACTACCGCCACCTGGACCTTTTATTCAGACCAAAGGAGTCTGTTCAAACAGTGGTGGCCTTTTAGTGGCTGGGTGTATGAGAGGAATCCACAGTATGAATGCACAATATTTATTTAACCATTCTCCTACTAATAAACATGTGTCCCATAACACATTTATTTTTCACTGTTACAAAAATTACTGGAATACTCTTTCCCACTTACGTGGGTATTTCTCTGGGATGAATGATCAGAAAAAGAGATCCTGAGCTGGATTCAAAGGCTGTTATATTCTTTCTGTTATGTAGTAACTTTACTTCTTACATCTCAATATCAGAGCTAGGAACATATTCCAAAAGTAGGCCTCTAAAAATTTTAAAGTCAAGACTACAGCAATCATTCTACCAGGCTCTTACTCTGATATCTTAGATCCCTTATTTTATGAAGTATAAGAGTCAAATAAAAGAAGCAAAATACATTTTTTGTTTTTGCTGTTGTTGTACAGTTAATGAGACCTGGTCAGTGAACACTGTTTATTAAATACGACCTTCTGCTCATAACATGGAAGAAAAGAAGTGGTTTTTTTGTTTTGTTTTGTTTTTTGTTTTTAAAAAAAGAATAAAGAAAGCCCTAGTTTCTGACCATATGCTAAAGTCTATTAAAACTGTACCTGTTGTGGGCTTCTCTGGTGGTCCGGTGGTTAAGAATCCACCTGCCAATGCCGGACACACGGGTATGAACCCTGGTCTGGGAAGAGCCCACGTGCCAAGAGGCAACTAAGCCCAAGCACCACAACTACTGAGCGCCTGTGCTCTGGAGCCTGCGCTCGGCAGCAGGAGACGCCGTCACAATGGGAAACCCAGGGATCGCAGCTAGAGAAAGTCCTTGCAGAGCAACAAAGACCTGGCAGAGCCAAAAATCAATCGATAAATACTGAAATAAATTTTATTTGTTGAGCAAGTCCTACCAGCTCTTTCCCAGTTTCCGAAACACTGCTCAGCCTCCCTCTATAAGCTTTGTACATCCTTTTCTACCAGTTTCAATGCTTTCACTCTCAGCCTCCTTCTGACCTTGACATAAGCATCATTTCCTCAAAGAAACCTCCCAAAGCCTCCAGTCTAGGACAGGATTCTTGTTAAGTGCTCTCACACAGACATGCGCTTTTCTTTCAGAGAAAAATTAGCAACTACCTTCCTCACTAGCCTGTAAATTCCAAAAGATCAGGGATTGTGTGTGTGTGTTTATTATCATTTCATCCAAAGCATCCAGCTAAGTGCTGGGCTTATAGATGAAGCTCAATAAATACAGAGGAAGAGAGAATATGAAAGAACAAGAATGAATGAATATGAACATACCAGTTCTAAAAGACTTGGGTAAACAAATGATTCTTATTACAGCTCTGCAGTAGGATATTTGAATATTCAGTCTTATGGAAAAAATGTAATATTAGTGTTAAAGGAAATTTTGAAAGTGAAAAACTGTATCAACTGCCTAAGAGAGCAACTACTTTTTTCCTTATAGTTTTCTTCTAATCTTTGCCCAAATACATATTTTTATAAAACATAATTATTCATGATATTACTACAATTACTACAATTAGAGACAAAATTTTAGGTGACAGCTTCTTCCTACAGAAATAGAGCTACCATTTCAGGAAAACATATAAATAAATGTAACTTTTAAGGCTATTAAACAGGAAACTAAATTTTAGGTGCATGATTTGAAAATAAGTGTATACTCTTTGGCTCTTGGCGATGGTATTACACACCTGTTTTTATAAGTGAGACGAACAGTTCTCGTACCTTCCCATTTCCCAGGCTGTTGTTCTTTAGAAGCCTGTTCCCATTTAGAGATAATGTCACAAATCTAGAAGGGAAGTAGAAAATGGAGATTCATAATGTTTTTCACATTGGGTATTTTTTGAAGACAAGCATGTCTACAGACTGAAAATTTTCAATTAATACAATCAAACCAAATGGACTGAAGCTTTCTGTTTTAAGCTTCTGCAGCTCTGAGTTTAGAATTTAATTATAAATCACTCTTTGGTCCTCTTATCCTTTCGGACACACATTAACTTTGGACTATGGCCATAAATTTTTTACTCAAAAAGGAAGCTTAATGAAGGATTGCATGAGACTGGAAACAAGAAGATTCCAGGAATTTTTTCATGATTTAGTCACCGAGAAGCAACTTTTCTGCCTTCTGAGTTTAAAAAGATTGGAATAACTGAAGTTATATCAAAGAACTCTGAAATATAATGTTAAGGTTCTTGGGGAAAGAACAAAAATTCTTCAGGAACAAGATAAATTTAAAAAAATCTTGTCATTTACAGAATAATAAATAAAAGTTTTTAAAATTATGGGGTAAGCAATTGTTCACCAAAGCCCCTGATATTTACTCAGTTCAAGTCAACCAAAAATACTAGCTTATCTTCTTGATCAATTATTAAAAGTATTCAAGGGATGTCTGTCTCAAAAATTTACATTTGGAATTGTTGATCTGAACAGGATATACTTGAAATTGCAAAGAAAAAGACATTCATTTATCTAGATGCCTCAAAATGCAGCTGAAGAAACAGGTGGGAGTGGTGTGGAAATCCTATCTTCTGACCAGCATTCCTAAGGAACTAAGTATGAGTTTTAACATATTGCATATTTAACCCATGGAGATTCAACAGATCATTCTGCAAATGCAGCTGGGCTTTGGGAGTTAAATGAAAGTACTGATGTTTTATATGCTCTGAACTTATGGGTGCATTGCTTGCTTTGCCCCAAATATTTCATCTCCAAATCAGAGAAGTACTCCATAACAAGGTACTTATTCCCAAGAGCAATAAGGACCATGTCAAGTAAGAGGATCCGGACCTGGTTCCAGCTATTTGATTTGCCGTAAATTATTTTTCATTCTAGGCCTTGGTTTCCTCATTTGCAAAATAAGTGGGTTATTTCTCTAAGGTTCCTTATGGTTCTGTACCCCATGTTTTTATTCGTTGCCATCGCTAGATGGAAACTTCATTAAAGCTATTTTACTATGACCTAGAAAACATTTTTAAGGAATCTTCCAATTTTCTGTCTTTGCTCATGATTTTCCCTATGTCTGGAATTGCTTCTTTATTTCCACAAGTGCATTTTCTTGTGTGTGTTAGTTGCTCAGTCAGGTCCGACTCCTTGCAACCCCATGGAGTGAAGCCCACCAGGCTCTTCAGTCCATGGGATTCTCCAGGCAAGAATACTGGAGTGGGTTGCCATTTCCTTCTCCAGGGGATCTTCCCGACCCAGGGACCGAACCTGGGTCTCCCGCATTGCAAGCAGTTTCTTTACCATCTGAGCCACCAGGGAAGCCTGGTGCATTTTCTACCAGTCAAAGTCCAGATGAGCTCTTCCCTAATTTCCACTGAATGTAATCTTTTCCTCTGTAGAATGTGCACCACATTCTTAAACTATTTATCATTTTCAATTTTAAGGTTATCAGTGTATAAGGCTACTCTTCCCTAGCAGATTAGGAGTTCCCTATGCGCAGGGAATATTTCTGTTCCCCGGGGTCTGCTCCAGCTCCTGGGACACAATGTGTATGTGTGAGTGCACAGTTGTGTCCAACTTCTGGCAACCCTATGGACTGCAGCCTGCCAGGTTTCTCTGTCTGTGGAATTTTCCAGGCAAGAATACTGGAGTGGGTTGTCATTTACTACCCCAGAGGATCTTTCTGACCCAGAGATCAAACCTGCATCTCTTGTGTCCCCTGCATTGACAGGCAGATTCTTCACCACTGTGCTACCCAGGAAGCCCTGGGACACAATATACAATTAAATGGATACTGCTGAGTGAATGAATAAAATGGAAAGCCATTTTATTAGAGCTTCCATACCTCCACTCTTTCTACCTTAATATTTAGGGTATTATTACTATTATTAATCCGCTTCCTCTCTTTAACATGTAGGATGTATGTGTGTGAGGGGTTTCCCTGGTGGCTCAGTGGTAAAAAAATCTGCCTGCTAATGCAGGAGATGTGGGTTTGATCTCTGGGTCAGGAATATCCCCTGCAGTAGGAAATGGCAACCCACTCCAGTATTCTTGCCTGGAAAATCCCATGGACAGAAGAACCTGGTGGGATACAGTCTATGAGGTCACAGAAAGTCGGACACCACTTAGCAACTAAACAACACTAACAATATATGCGTGTACAGATTTTGTTCAGAATTCCTTGGCTTCAACAAAGTCCAAATATATTTTTTTATTATGAAGATTAGATTGCTTATATTTTTGGAAAATTCTTGAACTAAACTTTTTTGCAAATAGCAGAATAACTTCTTTGCTGTTTGCTGGGTCTGCCTCCTTAAAAGGAGTTGGCTTTACCTTGATGTTTCCTTGAAGACAATGCTCTAAATCCCTGCCGGAAGGATCATCTGTGAACAATGCAAATCCAGACTGTGCTGGCTTCCTCATTCCTGTATCTTGGTTCAAAGTATTCAAAAACTCTTCCACTGTGGTGGATGCATCAAATCCAACTACCTAAACAGAAACAACATAGTCCTTCTCTTAATAAAAAGGTACAGACATTTCAAACCTAGATTTCAGGGGGGAAACAGGGCATACATGATGCACGATTAATAACATATATTTATCTAGGTGCTTTAACTTTTTTCAAAGTTCCACTGGAGAAAATTAATGTCATCTTAGTCATTAGCCTGACATAAGAATTCCTGGTTTCAGCCAGTAGACATGAATTCAAAACAGAAAGATCATTTGAGAGCTATAAACCTCTTGCAGGGATATTATGCTGGCCCATTAGGAACTACAGAACAGTATGTAATCTTCAAGCAAAGGGAAAAAAAAAAAAAGAAACACACTTAAACATATGAACACTTTTAAGCATTTGTTTCTTTAATATGCAGTTAAGTATCTGAATTCCATGATAAAAGGCTTAGAGCTAAAAGACTAACTGCCAGCTTCGGAATACATTTGCTAGTTAATAGGCAATCACCTAGATGTGAGTTGGAAGGGCCTGGACAGTTTTCCCAGAGAATTCCTAAGATGTGGAGACTTTAAAGGGACTAAACTTGTACACGTCCCATGTCAGGTATCATTTCCTCACCTAGCCGGTATACTGCTGGGGGAAGCCCTCAACTGAAGTAATTTTGCTTTTCTCCATCAGAATTACAATGGTAATGAAAATCCTCCCTTATTTCATTCAATATGGATATTTTAGTGTGCATCGTTTTTTAGCAAAACTGTTTCAAAGCTCAACTGTCCTGACAGAAAATCTAATATATTTGCATGTTTATCATTGCCAGCTGCTGACAGAAGTAGGGTGAGAGTCCCACCTCTCAACACCACAGAGGTTATACACAGGATTCTGGGCTAAGCACGTGTTCATTGGGTAGAAAGTCTAATCTACCTGATATATTCCATTCATGAAGTGCACAGGGATGCTGAAGGGCAAAGAATGATGATATGGGTTTCGAAGAAGGGTGGAAAGAATCTCCATTCTTGAGGGTCTTGCTTCTCGATCTCCATTCTGTTGTGTTCTTTCTACACATCTCTGGCAGTAAATGGCATATTTTCCAAATTCTGTCCTATAATACAAAACTTAAGATAAAACCTAAGAATAAATTTAATTAAGATATATGCACATTATGGAAACTTTCCTTGGTGTACATTATTACAATGTATCATGCTAATGTTGACAGCATAATATTATATTATCATTAAATGATAATATTAACTGCTATATTAATATACATTAATATTATATAATGTTAATTATCATAATCACAATAATATAAACTAAATATTATATAAGACTGATATATATTAATATAATATTGTCATTATTGAGTGATAATATTAACTGCTGTCACTTTTCTCAAATTCTAGTGTCTTTACTTTCGCCACACACTTCCCACAAAGCAATCTTCATCATTATTGTATTATTATAATCACAAAATAAATTTAAAATTACCAGACATTACATGGTCAACATACAGTGATTATATTAACAAATATAAAGAAAGTAACTGTATAAAGACTAGAACAGGATAACATAAGGAGTGCATGATGAAGAGAGTTCTCTTTTGAAGAACATAGAAGTTAATGCCATTCCTGCTGAGCGAGATAGGAAAATATCTTCAAACAAAAATAAAAATGTATTTTCCTTGGGACTTCCCTGGTGGTCCAGTGGCTAAGATTCTGTGCTCCCAATGTAGGGGGTCCAGGTTTGATGTGGTCAGGGGGCTAGATCCTACATGTCACAGCTAAGACCTGGCCCAGCCAAATAAATAAATAAATATTCCTTCTTTACAAAACATGTACTTCTTTAAAAATATTAAGCATTAAACAAAACTGCTGGGGTAAATAAATCCAGTAAAAGCTGGATAGAGATCTTATTTGTCCTTATTTGTTACATATAATTTTTATTTCATTTATAAAAGCAGATTGATAATGTATCTACGTATATGTCCATTCAAGTGCCTTTTAGGTGGGCTTTAAAATCTCACTTTGTAGGGGGCGGGTGGTTCTCAGTGACTGCAACTGTAATCACATGACCCTGATGACAGAGTCCCCAGAGACACATGAGCTGGAAGGTATTTTCCCTCTGCTTCCAAGCTGCTTTTTCGTTTCACCGTTTGTTTGAGTCCCAGAGTCTATTTAAACAACCTAATATGAACCTCTTGGACAAAATGATCCCAGTCACCCTTGGCTGGACACCCTAGGCCCCATTGTAAGAAAGTCATTCTAACAGTGAATTGGAAAAGTCTTTTTCAAAGGAGTAAAAATTCTGAGGTAATTCAAATACATACAATTATAAAAGGTGGGAAGACTATCAGGAAAGTCTTCTATATAAAAGAATTAAATGTGAAGAAAATAGTAATAGAAAAAATAAGGAAACAAAATAGTTGCTTTTGTTGGATGAACACCCACTAACAATAAGACATTCATACTTGAAATCTACATAGACTATTAACTTAAAATATTCTTTGTCAGCTTTTCAAGCTTTTAGTGCAACCTTCCATGAGAAATTTAACGTAACAAAGGAAATATTTTTCTAGCTCTGCATAAATGATAACCAAAGGCTTCCTGTATCAACATTTGTTTCACACATTCTTCCACAAATGTACCTGGCAGGTTACTAAATACCTATGATTTATTGCAGACACAGAGGCCACGTAAATGGTGCAGCTGTCTAGAACTCTGCGTACCTGGAATCTGCATTTCTCTTTAGATGGAGCCTGAGGAGCCACAGGAAAGGATGATGGGGAAGGAAGAGCCCAATACAGAGCGCCAAGAGTTGCCAGCCCTGGGCAAAGAGGAGCATCACAGGTTAGACACCACGTGGTCATCAGAGACGTAAGTCAGGGGGAGTGTGACCGAGAGAGGGAGTGACAGCGAAGGGGTGATGACAGTCTTTCTTGATCCCAAAATGTTTTTGCTTTTTTCCACATAGACATCATCTCCTTAGAGCATTTATAATACATAAAAGCATAAAAGCTTCATATTGGGTCAGAACCATAATCCATCTAGTTATGTACACAGTTGTCTACAACTGAGGTATCAGAGGATATCATATGGTAATCCTTTTTGATATTACACAAGGTTAGGGAAATTGTTCCCTTTTGTTCATTTATGCGTTAACTCTTTCACTGAAATATAAGTAATGGCACTAAGAAAGGGCAAATTGAAAAGTAGTAAAAAATAATTTATACAAAAAGCAGAACAGACGTACCCATACATACATACATAGCTAAACAAGGGGCAAGCACAAAAATATTAACAGAGGTATCTCTAGGTAATAGAGGTATATATGACTTTTATTATTCTCTTGCTTATATTCTATTTTATATCTTAATTTTTTAAAATTAAGTATAACTATAATATTTTTTTAATATCATACAAAAAAAGGAAAAGAGGGAAAGGCCCTGCCCTTGAAGAATTTATGATCTAGAAGACATTATATATATATTTAAACAGTAATCTATAATACAGCACCACTAATACACTGTAATAATGTTTTTTAAAGTATGACCAATGGATGGAATGATTACTGATGTGGGAGTCAGGAAAGAACCTACAGGAGGGATGCTGCTTGGGCTGGACTGTGAAGTCCACAGGTAGGAAGAATGCAGAGGGATCTGGTTTCCAGGTGAAGGATAATGAGAGGCAGGGTTGTTCGAAGAATGAAGAGAGTTTATTCATTCAATGTACACTGGAAACAGGATATATAAAATGAAGTGGAGAAAGAGGAGGCCACTGGAGCCAGATTATGAAGGGCCCCTGATAGACATGAAGGTTAAGTTTCAGAACCCCGCTCAGTACAAAAAAAGTCCCCTCCAAATACCTAGGACAGGTGGGAGGGGGGAACGGGATGGGGAATACATGTAAATCCATGGCTAATTCATTTCAATGTATGACAAAAACCACTGCAATGATGTAATTAGCCTCCAACTAATAAAAATAAATGGAAAAAAAAACATAACAAAACAAATACCTAGGACAGGCCCTATGAGCTGTCATAGTCATATGACATACTCATTTGTTCTTTTAAAATGTGTAAAAGTAATAAATACTGTTTTCTTTTCCTTAGTATTCATTGCACAAGTTTCAAGTCCCACAAAACCTAGGTCCACTCCCAAGAGTCTAGGGTAAGAAATTTCTATTTTATCCTGTGAATGACAGGGAGTCAGTGAGTATATATTAAAAGAAGCATTCATTGAAGAGTAAACACAAGTGACTAAAACCCTTCTGAAAATAAATCTGACTGTAATAATTAAGGAAATGTATCCAAAATCAATAATGAAGTACTACTTTTTACCTGAAAAGAAATTAACAGAAGAATTACACTGAATATTGTTGAAGATATGGAAAATTCTAGAAGTGGACACAATGAAATTCACTGGACTTGCCCACAAAATTTAGGTTCAAAGATGTCTACTGTAGTGGTATTTATCATAGGAAAAGTAACTGGAAAAACCTAAACGTATAGCAGTTGATATTAAAGCAACTAGTATTAATGTTTTGAAGACTGCTGAAAGCTATCGGGGAAATGACTATGTTTTATAGTTTTTAAAAAGTATATGCACATGGTAATGTTAGTAATGTGAAAAACTGTGAGTGCATAAATATACACATATAAACATTTATATATAGATTATAGAAACTGAAAGGATATACATCAAAATAGTAATAATTGTTTTTCCATTTCATACTTCTTGTATTTTCCAAATGTCTATATTGAATATGTATTATATTTACAATCAGGAAAACAACATCATTCAAAATTGCATGTATATGTATCAACACATACCTGCAGAGGTCCTGGTTGATTCTGTGGCTGTCTCCATCTTGTCTGTTTAATGAGCTGACAGCAAATTTCATTCTGTAGCTCAGGATGTGTCAGACAGATTTGCAAAGCACTCTGGGCTAGAGATATGTGGTAATCAATTGCGGGAGAGTCGACTGCTGCATTTATAAAAAGTTGGCAGGTCTGAATTAAATGAAAAAAATAGATATACTCAGGGTGAGAAATGGTAAGATTTATTCTGCATGAATTATATTGATTCTCTTACTAGCAAAAGTTTTTGTTTAAAAGAATGGAAAAACTGAAAAATAAATAAATAAATAAAAGGACGGAAAAGATATATTGTGATAACATTAATCAAAAGAAATCTGGAATGGTGACATTAATATCAGACAAAGTAGATTTCCAGGCAAGGAATTCTGCCAGAGATAAAGAGGGTCATTTTGTAATGATAAAGGGGTCAGCTCATCTAGAATGGATCACAATTCTAAATGTTTTAATAATATAGCTTCAAAATACGTGATGCAACCACTTATAGGACTGTAAGGAGAAACAGACAAAATTCACAATTAAAGTGAGAGACTGCAATACCCCCTGTCAACAAGTAGGTAGAAAAATCAGTATGGATTTAGAAAACCTAAACAATACTATCAATCAACCTGACCTAATTTGTAGAATAGTCCACCTCTGAGCAGAATATGCATTCTTTTTAAAGGCATATGGAACATTAATAGCATTTAGAGTCTACTGGAATACAAACTTCATAAAGACATTTTCTTGTTTATCTTTATACTCTCTACACAGAACAGAGTTCAACCCCTCCTCATCTTTATTTTTTTTCTAGTAATATCAATTGGCATCTTTAAGAACTAGTTTACTGAGGAAAGTATTTTGGGAAATAGTAGCCTAAATAACTTAAAGTGAATGTAAATACATAGTATTTTTCCTCCAAAGAGACTAAATTTTAGAGTAGGTTACTAGGAAAAGGTTATAGCATAATCTTTCCTAGACATTTTCCAAACTAGGATATTAATACTTATCATTCTTCATTTTAACAGTTCATTGTAATAAAACTGTGAAATTTCATTTTGATCTTGACTAGAGAAGTAGCTACTCTTGCTTGAGGAAGTTTGGGATGGATTGCCTAAAGGCATGGGAAGCAGCTTCAATACTCATAAAATGTTCTATGAATTCTGAAAAATATATGCATGCTAATTTAACAACCCCAAATCACTGTTATAAATGTATCAAATAACTTTAGTTATGGTGCTTTACATGTATATTTGTTTCAATGAATTAAATACATTGGGCTTATTAGTGACATTGAAATTTGAGAGTAAAACAAAGTTCTGGGAGTGAAATCTTTTGCAAGAACTATTTTAAAATGTTAGTCTTTTTTTTCTTATAAGAAATGTCAGGAAACAAAAAAAGTACTGCTTGTGACAGGATGTAGTTGGATCTTGCTTTTTTATACATTCTGACAATTTCTACCTTGTAGTTGGAATGTTTAGACCATTTAAATTGAATATTATTAGTATGTTGTTGTTGCTCAGTCTCGAGGTCACATCCAACTCTTTTGTGACCCCACAGACTGTAGCCTGCCAGGCTCCTCTGTCCATGGGATTTCCCAGGCAAGAATTCTGGAGTAGGGTTGCCATTTCCTTCTTCAGGAGATCTTACCGACCCAGGGATCGAACCCGTGTCTCCTGCTTGGCAGGTGAATTCTTTACCACTGACCCACCTGGGAAGCCAATTATTAGTATGGTCAGGAATAAATTTCTCTTAGTCATGATTAGTATTATTTTTTTAAATTTATTTTTAATTGAAGGATAATTGCTTTACAATATTGTGCTGATTTCTGCCAGACATCAACATGCATCAGTCATAAGCATACATATGTCCGAGGATTAGTATTCTTTTAAAATGATGTTGGAGTCTGTTTACTAATATTTGATTAGTTTTTGTATGAAATGCTCTGTTTTCTATAATATTTTCTAGGGTTTGGTATAAAAATACTACTTACTTCACAAAGAGAATCTAGTGACATGATGACTGAGAATTGCTTCAAAATAACCTAGTCTTGGGGAGCAATAGAGATGGGGAGAATAAAACAAAACTGGTCATAGGTTGACAACTGTGGAGCTGGATGGTAGCATCTTATACTTTATAATATTCTCTCTACTCTTACATATGTTTGATATATATACATAAGCTTTGAGCCTTACCCTAAACAAAGTAAAAGAAAAAAATTTTGCAAAATTTCTTTCTTTCCTATGCTTTGGGACACTTTGAATAGCACTGAAATTATCTATACTTACAAAGTTTGGTAAATTCCCCTGTTTAAATTTTTATTCACCTGTGTAATTGGTTTTGGCCACTTATGTTTTGTTATATAGTTGATCACTTCATCCAGATTTTCAAATATATTTGTATAAAGTCTGTCTTACTTTGGGTATTTGTGTATTCTACAGGTGGATTTTTAAAAACACTCCATGATGGTATTTTTAAAACATGAACAAAAGTAGAGAGAATAGTATAATGTACCCATTACCTAGTGTCAACAGCTGTTAACAAGCATTTTGCCATATCTGTTTCATTCAATCCCTGTCCTCGCTTTTTTCTGTAGTATTTTAATGTATATCATGTTATTTTACTAATACTTCAGTAGGGATCTCCAACTGACACAGATTTTTCCACGTAAGCATCATGTCATCATCATCCACTTCCCAAATTAACAACAATTCCCTAGTATTATCTAGTAAGCAAATAATTTTTTGAGATGGGAGGAATATAGGCAAGAAAAAGAGAAAGAAGAGATAAAAACTGAAGACTCTAAGAGACTAAGGGGAAAATGAAGTACCAAGGTGCCAGCACAGAGTCAAGACAAGAATCCACAGAAGATACATTACATTCTGAGACTGAAGTAATGGAGGAAAAAACAGATGAAACAGTCTCTTGGGATGAGAGATTCGAGGTGATCATTTGTGATGCCCTCTAATTTTTCCAATGAAATTAAATTTGTTCTGGGGAGCATTATTGAGTAGGGAGTTTGAGGGGATGTGACCAAAGACAAGCAAAGAGAGACAGCTGGCCCTGAGGAATGAAGACCATAGTCACATAGGCTCTAGTCCACACAGCTATTTGATGCTCTCTAGCATTACACATGCAATTAATACAGAAGCAGGCAAAACCACAGCAGGGATCTTGGCAGGAGTCTGGCTGAAGAATGCATGGGACCATAGGTCCCAAGGAACTATAGTGCTCTTTCTTGATCTCAAAGAAAATAAATTACTCAAAAAAAGGTCTTAGTGAGGATGAGAAATGGAAGAGTAAGAAAGTAAGAGAGCTCATGGGCTAAGAGATTATGGTTAAAGAAAGATATATTAGGATTTAAGATTTTAGAAGTGGTGTACTTATGAGGCATGTTGGGGTCAAGGTGTGGACATGGAGATTGGACAGGGTAGACAGCAAGCTTACTGACATTGAGAAGGTCAGGAATCTTAAGGTCATAGCACTGGTGAGCAACGTGATAGCAAAGTTATTTAGTGTAATGGCAAAGTTTAAGGCAGAGAGAAAGAATGTGAGTTAGGAGCCAAAATCCTTAACGAAATTTGAGGAGGTACCAGAAGGTGACTGATGACAGAGATAATGGAAAGTGAAAGTGTTGTGAAAGTGAAAGTGTTGTGAAAGTGAAAGTTTTAGTCACTCAGTCATGTCGGACTCTTTGCAACCCCATGGACTGTAGCCTGTCATGCTCCACTGTCCATGGGATTCTCCAGGCAAGAATACTAGAGTGGGTTGCCATGCTCTTCTCCAGGGGATAATGGGGCAGGGGTAAAGAATGATATAATTGGCAAGTTTCAAGTGATCAGGGACTTAATAGAGGTTGAGTAGTAAGAATTTAAGCATATTAGCATTGGAGAAGAACAACAGTGTCGACTCCTCTCCCAATAGTGAGGTATGGTGATGTCAGAAATCTCTCCATCTGAGAAGCTGAAGAGAAAATGACTCTGATATTAAGTCTTTCACATGGCCCAAACCATAGTTTATCATAGAAATTTCAAATTCTCACTCAGAAAGCATATTAAATTCATCTGACTTTAATTCAGTATATTTTCTTTGTCATTGTTATCATATTTTGAATTTTCTTGAAAACAGTGAAACTTTATAACCTAGATTTCCATTTTTTCCTATTAAAATGCTTAACAATATATGTGCTGTGCTAAGTCGCTTCAGTCATGTCTGACTCTTTGCGACCCCATGGACTGTAGCCCACCAGGCTCCTCTCTCCATAGGATTCTCCAGGCAAGAATACTGGAGTGGGCTGCCGTGCCTTTCTCCAGGGGATCTTCCCAACCCCCGGATCGAACCTGTGTCTCTTGCATCCCCTGCATTGGCAGGCAGGTTCTTTACCACTAGCACCATTTGGGAAGCCCTGGCAAAGGTTAACTTCAAGTTTTTTTGATATATAATGCCACATAAAGTTTTACCTTAAATAATTTAATTGCTTCTGTCTGTAGAGCTTCTGAAGGTAGTGTTGTCAGAGGGGAAATGATTCCTTCTTTGCTGTGACACAAAGTAGGGTGTCTCCATATCTGAGAGGCTACGTACAAAATGAAATGTGAATAAGAAACAGAAAGAATCACTTATTTGGGCCTCATATTAAATTAGCCCTTTAGAAATTAGCTCATTCAGGTCTGGCTCACAATTTAAGTCATAAAAAACATGAAAAACCTCTGATCACATTATTTTATTTCAGTTTCTAGACCATTGGCATTCTCATAATTCTCTTCAGGATAAATTAAAGTTAGACAAAGTTGGTACAATATTTTAGGCCAAAACAAGTCTACCAGGACATTGGTTATATTGCTTAAATGTGCTAAAGATTGGTGACCTAGGTAGGGAGATGACTGTATATGCAAGGGAGCTGGGGGCAAGTTGCAGAGAAGAAACTAGAGCAGGAGGAGATAGAAAGATAAAGAAGAACTTGAAGTCATTCCTAAAATCAACATTTATTGAATTTCTATGCCAGATCACAAATAAAATGTGATCTCTATTAAGTAGAGCATCTAGGCTCTCAATGGGGAAACTTCAGCCATTAAAAAAAAGAAAATTCAATGCAAAGCAACAAATGCTATGAAAGGGTTAAATGGTGAAGTGCATTGGGACATAATTTTAACATTTATTAGGCACCTTTTATGAGCCACTTGCTGAGTTGGGATGGGCTGGATGGGAGACCTCCTAAGGTACACAGGATTTCATCAGGTTGGTGGGGAATGTGAAGGAGGGAGGGCAGTCCAGGCAGAGGGAGTAATGCGAGCAAAGGCAGAGAGGTGAGACAGGATACAGCATGTTGAAGAAGGATGGTGTCCCTGCAGCTGAAGAGCCGCAGTGAGAATCCTAGTCCATGATAAGCAAAGCCAGTAAGAATGGGTATATAGGAATCCACAAAATGAAAACTCTACTAGGCAAAGGGGGTTAGGGTCCATTTCATAAACCACAAAGACTTATACATTATAAACTTACAAGGTTCCCCTTCTATATTTAGCAACTTGCAAACAAGTTGTTCAAATTCAGATCCAACATTCACATTGTTACTTCCAGCTGCAACAGTCAGGTGATAAAGCCAAGTGTCCTTAAAAATTAAAACATATTAATAGAGATGTTAACCATGATACAGTTTTTGATGACTTAAGGAAAAAACAACTTGAATAGACAGTAGAAAACTTTGACACTGGAAAAAAAAACTCTTAATTTTTAAATAAAACTAAAAGCCACTTAGGCTCATTTGAATTGTGTTCATAGTGCCTTTCTCCCATTGTTCATATTTTAATTATTTTCTTAGAAAAGCATAAGAAAATTAAGACAGTAATATGACATTAAGAGGCTAGAATAAATATAACTAATTAATAGCATTTTAAGGAATACAACAAATTCTATCAAATTTAAAATCTGATTCCTCATATATACAAATAACACAAAAAAAATACTTAAGAAGTCCAGAAAATTTAAAGAAGGAATTAAAAGCCAGAAGGAACATACCTCAACACAATAAAGGTCATCTGAGAAAAATTAATAGTTAATATCATACCCAATGATGAAAACCTGAAAGCTTGTCCTGTAAGATTTGTAACAAGACAAGGATGCCCACTCTTGCCACTTTTATTCACCATACCACTGGAAGCCCTAGCTAGAGCAATAGAGCAAGAAAAAGAAATAAAAGGCATCCAAATTGGAAAGGTAAAATTATCTGTTTGCAGATGACATTATCTTACTTGTTGAAAATCCTAAAGACTCCATAAAAACAGTGTTAGAACTAATAAATTCAGCAAAGTTGCAGAACACAAAATCAACATACAAAAATTGTGTTCATATACACTAACAATGAATTATCTAAAAAGGAAATTAAGAAAACAATCCCAAAACAACAGCCAAAATAAAAACAAAAGGAATAAAGTACTTAGAAATAAACTTAACCTAGAAGTCAAAAGCTTCATACAACAAAAATAATAAAATACTAATGAAAGAAACTAAAGTTGACACAAGTAAATGGAAAGACATCCAGTCATGGGCTGGAAGAATTAATATTAAAAATGTCCATGCTACCAAAAGCAACCAATAAAGGTTCAAAGTAATCTCTATCAAAATCCCAATTTTAAAAAACAGAAACAGAAAAAACAACCTTAAAATTCATCTGCAACCACAACAAATCCCAAATAGCCAAACCAATTTTGAGCAAGAAGAACAAAGCTGGGGAGATCATACTTCCTAATTCAAAATATACAAGCTACAATAATCAAAATAGTATGGTGCTGCAATAAGAACAGACAGTAAGTTCATTAATGGGTTTAATGATTGTCCTATTAGGCTAATGGGACAGAATAGAGTCTAGAAATAAACTCAAACATATATGGTCAACAGATTTTTGATAAGGTTGCCAAGAATATAGTGGGCAAAGGATAGTCTCTTCAATTAACGGTACTGGGAAAACTGGGTATCCATATGCAAAACAAAGAAATTGGACCCTGATCTCACACAATACACAATATCAACTCCAAAAGGAATAAAAACTTAAATATCAAACCTGAAATCACAAAACACCTGGAAGAAAACATTTAGAAAAAACTTCTGGACATAAGACTGGTCTTTCTTATGACACCAAAGCACAGGCAACAAAAGCAAAAATAGATATGCAGAATTATATCAAATTAGTAAACTTCTGCACAGCAAAGGAAATCATCAATAAAATGAAAAGATAACTTACTGAATGGGAGAAAATATTTGCAAATCATATTTCTTATAAGGGGTTAATATTGAAAGTATAAAAAAGCTCATATAACTCAATGGCAAAAAGACAAACAATCCAATTTAAAAATGGGAAGAGTATCATTTGTCCAAAGAAGACATATAGACAGCCAACAGGTACACGAAACGGAGCTCAACATCACTAATCATCATTAGTGATCACTAAGACCTAACACAGCCAAAAATAATAAATAAATATTTTTTTAAAAAATACCACGAAATCTAACATCTGTTAAGTAAAAAAGGGTGTATATTTTCTGAGTTTGAAATATATTAGAATAAAATTATTTTTAAAAGAATACTATGTCTAATAAATGTATATGTGTCTTTGATTGTACTTGCTTTGCTGTGCTATGTCGCTTCAGTTGTGTCCAACTCTGTGTGAACATACGGACTGCAGCCCTCCAGGATCCCCCGTCCATGGGATTCTCCAGGCAAGAATACTGGAGTGGGTTGCCATGGCCTCCTCCAGGGAATCTTCCCAATCCAGAGAATGAATCTGTGTCTCATGTCTAACCTGCACTGGAAGGAAGGCTCTTTACCACCAGAGCCACTTGGGAAGTCCTTGATTGTACCTACTTATGCTCACTTGAAAATTATTACCAATTCTTAATCATATTAGTCTAACTCATTCTAAATCAACCAGTTAGTCCTTACATACCTTTTCATGCTTGGATCCAATTAGTAGGTAAGTTGGACCTTGCTCTTTGGGATGGACCACAATAGTGTAATGTGTGGATAACAGGCTTCGCCCACTGGCTTCATAATCTTCATCTGAATCGCAGGATCTGTCAACCTCTTCAACTTTAGCCTCCCAGAGTTTGATCTGACCTAAAGGAAACTAAAGTAAATATTAGTAATTGTAAGGAAGGAACTTTCTGAATCTTTTCCTGCTAAAGTTTTTCATAGTCCTCTTCATTCTTGGCTTTATAAACCATATCTATTTTTAAATGAATGCCTAAAGGTAACTGGATTATCTACACTGTTACAAAAGTGGGGTAGCCACAGTTAACATGCCAAATGTGATATAAAACAACAATCTGAATACTAGGCACTTAGTTTTTGTGGGAAAAGCAAGAAGCCATTTCTGTACAGTGGTTCAAATTATTCAATTTAACCAAAATGATCCACTATCTAGTCAAGCAATTACGTTATTCAGTCAAGATATTCATTTGACTTTTAACCCTCCAACAAAATTGATTTGATTAACCTATTGGATTAAAAGGACAAGTGTAGACATAGTCCCAATACTATCGATAAAAAAGTAAAAAAGTCAGACAGCTAGTGTGAAGAAGTATGATTAACTATCACTGTAAATCTCAATAAATGAAAAGTGTTTTGAAGCTATTATTATATATGAAGAGTGAAAACGTGAAAGTCACTCAGTCATGTCCCACTCTTTGTAACCCAATGGACTATATAGTCCATGTAATTCTCCAGGCAAGAATACTGGAGTGGGTAGCCATTCCCTTCTCCAGGGCATCTTCCCAACTCAGGATTGAAGTGGGGTCTCCCACATTGTGGGCAGATTCTTTACCAGCTGAGCTACCAGGGAAGCCCCCAATACATATATATATCTATACACATATATATATGTATACTGTTGTTTAGTCACTAAGTCATGTCCGATTCTTTTGTGACCCCATGGACCCTTCAGGCTCCTCTGTCCATGGGATATCCCAGGCAAGAATACTGAAGTGGGTTGCCATTTCCTTCTCTAGGGATCATTTCCCAACCCAGGGATCAAACCTGTGTTTCCTTCCTTGACATGCAAATTCTTTACCACTGAGCCACCAGGGATATATGTACATGTATATATAAAATAAATCACAAAAAAATGCCACGATTTCTTCCATCTTAATTTCAGGGTAAGAAAAAAAATCTTAAAAATAATTTACATTAAATTTTACCTACTCTTTTACTGACAAAAATAATTATTTGCTATGTTTTAAAACTTTTGCTTTAATTAAGTACACTTATTCCAGGAACATATACAGTCTGCTTGAGATTTTTTGCTTTTAAACTATCTCACCTAGATATCTTATCTAAAATGCAATATTATCTGTCTAATACTTAATAGAAAAATACTTAATTACATGTGTTCTATTTTATGAGAAAAACTTCTTTCCCCATTAAATTCATAACAATTATTTTCTGAGTAGTTACTATGTGCAAAGTACTATTCTGGGTACCGAATGAAGAAAATTTACTTCTGAAAAAAATATAAAATTAACTTATCTATATTTTCAGAAAAAGAAAGGTAGTAAAACAAAAATAATAGGGCAGCAAAGTCACATTAATAAATAAAAAGCAAGCTTTAAAAAATCAGATAAAGAAAACTAATTCTATTATAATAATACATGACAATACTATCCTAATTGTGTGCTCTAGGCTTGTCTAATCATATGACAATCAAGGTTCCATCCACCACAATATTAAGGATGGTTATTCCTTTTGAGAGTCCCTTGGACTGCAAGGAGACCAAACCAGTCAATCCTAAAGGAAATCAACTCTGAATATGCATTGGAAAGACTGATGCTGAAACAGAAGCTCCAATCCTTTGGCCACATTATGCAAAGAGATAACTCATTGGAAAAGACCCTGATGCTGGGAAAGATTAAAGGCAAAAGGAGAAGGGGGCGGCAGGGGATGAGATATTTAGCTAGCATTACCAACTCAATGGACATGACTTTGATCTAATTTCAAAGGAGAAAGTGGAGGGCAAAGGAGTCTGGCAAGCTGCAGTCCATGGAGTCACAAAGAGTCAGATATGACTCAATGAATAAACAACAACATTCCTTTCACCAAAGGATCACCGTGGCTCCATAAACAGTGAATAGACCTGGCGTTTTTAAGTATTTTGACTGAATTTTTAAAAAGGCACTGATCAAATGGAAAAAATAAATAAATAAATAAAAAGACACTGATCGAAATAAAGACAAATTGTTTCTGAAACATGTATAGCACAAAATGAAGTTAGCCTATACTGATTCACAAGCATTCTAGTACTTTTCCACTAATTATCATGGATTTCTGCTCATCTATTTACATTCTTCTAACTTGTTTCTTCTATGATCAATGTTATCCATTTTTATTAAATAATAGAAATTATTATTAGTAGTGGTAGTAAGAACATTTAAATTTTACTCTTGGTAAAGTTTAAATTACTTTTCTATTTATAAAACACATACTTATTACAGAAACTTGGTAAAAACTGAAAGGTGCCCAAAAAAGGAGAGGCTTCCCTGGTGGCTCACATGGTAAGTCTGCCTGCAACGCAGGAGACCTGGGTTCAATCCCTGGGTTGGGAAGATCCCCTGGAGAAGGAAATGGCAACCCACTCCAGTATTCTTGCCTGGAGAATCCCATGGACAGAGGAGCCTGGCAGGCTACAGTTCATGGAGTTGTAAAGAGTAAGACCCAACTGAGGGACTGACACTTTCACTTTTCACCCCAAAAAGGAAAAAAAAAAAAAAGTCATTCATAATTCTACCACCACTCAACTTTTCGGTACAGTTCTTTCTGACTTTTCTGCTGTGTATGTTTTAACACAGATGTGCTAGAAGGAGGATTATAAACTCAGCATCCCAACCTCCCTCTTCTAAAGTCTCTCTGTAATTGCAGAAAAGAAGCTGGGCACTATATGTGTCAGAATCCCTTTCCCCGCATAGTTCCAAATTAGAGCTTGCCTGAGAGAATTTGCATGTAATGTGGAAGGTAAGGGTGTCAGAGGAGTTACTGCAGAGAGCTGCAGTCAGAGGCCTGGGCGGCTGGCAGGGTCACAGAGGCTTCGCAGTCAACTGCTGAGGACCAGCTGCCTCTGTGCTTTGTGTTCAGACCACTGGTCCTGCCTTCTTGGACCTTCAGTGGCAGCTTCTTCCCCAACCTCTACCACCCTGACTTTTCTAAAAGTTACATAAGTCCCTAATTCTATGTCAAAATTATTGTAAATGGAATACACAGAGTGGCTGTGGTTTTCCTGATTGATAACTGAGTTAGGGTTATATTGGGATATACAATTTTGTAATGTGCTTATTCTTGTATTACTTTAATGAGCATATTCCCACACTGCTTCAGAGATAACACTCTCAAAGATTCATTGTGTTAATTTCCATCCCATGAGCAATACTGAGAATAAGGAAATGCCTTTTAAATATGGCTAGTCAGGGGACTTCCCTGGCAGTCTAGTGGTTAAGACTGTGCACTCCCAATGTAGACGATGTGGTCACGGGACTAAGGTCCCACATGCTGCATGAAGTGACCAATAAATAAATAAATACGGCTAGCCAGAACCCAGAGTGCAGGCAGCAAAAATAGAACAGAGAAATACTAACTGACCTATGTGGTCAGTGGACCAAGAAGTCTGGTCTCATTAATACAGTAATCACTCACAGGCTGCTATTCTGTGAAGCAGGCATCATTGTTTTATGCAAATACTCTTGATCCAATGATAATTAGGCACACATTTTACCTTTGGAAGACATCATCTTTTTCCTTTGAAAATGAAGGTAACTCAAGTTCTTTGGGGGAAGAGATTAATTAAAAATGAACCAATGGGACATAAATAGGTAGGTGGATGGATAGATAAGTGGTGTCTAGGAATTCAAGGGCCTGGGACAGGACTGGATTCTTTTTTCTCTCCAGCTTCTTTCCTAGCTTGATGCTCCCATCATTCAAACTTATCTATTCTGTCAGGCCTGAAAAATATGAGGAACTGATGGCTGAGAGCGGGGTAGGGGAAGATTTTTCTAGGTCTTAGAAGAAGCATTAATTAAAAGTTGCTAAGGCTTATAATTAAGAATCAAGATCCCTCTGGGCCTATTGATTACCTTAGTAATAAATTTTATGCAAAATTTCAACATCATCAATAATTCTAAAGTTTGGGCTAGCAATAGAACAGTAAAAGGAAAAACTTGAAGCCATAATCAACAAAAAATTTCTCTAATCAGGATATTAAGAACATATACATACCTTATCTTCTTGACTACGAAAATAATATAATGTTTTTCCTATAAGTTTACACCAGACTCTCTTGGAATAACCATGTTTTACCTGAAATCATATTTCAAAGAATTATAAATGTAGCTCAGGACTCTGACACCTTAAAGTATGGCATATACACTCTATTTGAAGCTATTTGATCAGCTATCCAGTTTGCTCAAGTTATAAATGACATTTCAACCAGACTATCTTAATGCTATTTGCAATTTACCTGATATACTAGTATCATGGCATGTCTGCTTCATGCTCAACACTCAACATTTAATGAATGTTTACTAGATGTCAAGTGTTACACCTAAGACTAAGGCTTAAAAGATGCCAATTTCACAAGTAAGTATTTTTCACAGTTTCCATATTATATAGATTTCCAACAATCCTGTGGCTCTCCAGGTTAACACATGTTAGAAACAAGAAGACTGAAACCTAAGAATTTTAGTGATTTCCAAAATACAAAAGTTTCATTCATTCAAAACACTTGATGCCTTCTCCAGAAGGATACACACAAAATAATAAAAGCAACATTAAAATCTACTGTTATATATTGAGTACTTCCTATATGTCAGGAACTATCTTTCCTGACTGGGATGGAATCTGAGTCTGGTTCTTGACTCTGAGTAGTCAGCGACTGGTCCAGGCACTGGGGGTACAGATATGAACAAGACAGTTTCCTTCCTCGAGGCGCTCACTGCCTCACGAGGCAGACAGACAAGCAAACCAGCAGTGTGCTATGTATCTTCATTAGAAATACAAAGTTTGCACACTTAGATGTGTGTGTGTAAGACATTTCACACACACGTTCTACACGTTTACACACAAATTTGTCCTGAATATTACAGGTTTTTCACTGTTCAGTGGATTTAGTAAGATCCTCACTATTGGGTTTCACAGGTGGTGCTATGGTAAAGAACCTGCCTGTCAATGCAAGATCCTCACTATGAGTTCCTCCCTGCCCCAGCCCTGTCCAGGTTCAGGCACTGAAGATCTCTGTCAGACAGTCCCAGCTATACCCTCAAGTCTAGAAAAACAACACCAAGAACCCTACTCCCTCCGGTGGATAAGATCTGTAATGGGTTCTGTTGCCCCAGACCTAGAATGTGGTATGCCTGGTTGAGCTTGCCCAATACTTCCACTACCCAGGCAGCCCCGCCAATTTTTGCCTTGAGGTTTGACCCTCTCCTTCAATAGTCAGAGTGGACTTCAACCTGGAGAGACCCACCACTGGAAAACCAAGACACCGGCTGGTAAAACCAAAGCCAACATTCCATTGTCATGCTTGCCCATGGTGATAAATATGAAGAGGAAAAATAAAGCAGGAAAAGAGAAGGCAGTGCTTGGAGAAGCAGGGGATGTGTTTTACAATTTAAAATACGGGGGTCAGGAAGGCGTCATCAACACTGAAGAGTCAAGCCCTAGAGGAGGGAGGTGAGCTACGCAGTCACCCGAGAGAACACTCCGGGCAAGGACGCAGCAAGCACCAAGGTCCTGAGATGATGTGTGTCCATGTGTCCGAGACTGAGCGAGTAAGGGGAGACGTCACTGGGGGGGGCGGCACGTGGGGTTGGGAAGCACACATATTTTGCGGAGACCTTGTAATGACAACATTTAAACAGAGAAGAATGGATTTTGCAGTGGGCAAGTCACAACAGCAGAAATGGCCTGGGTTCTGAGGTCAAATGGACCAAGGTTTAAATCCCAGTTCTACCACACACTGGATAGACGATGCCCTCAGGCAACTGACTTGACCTCCCAACTTCTTTCCTTAACGTGGGATAACTGTACACCTCAGCGGGCTGTTGTATGACCAAAGGAGAAAATGTAAATAAAGGATACTAGTAGTTACTCAATAAACACTTCCTTCCTTGTTATGCATAAGGAGAAGTAAAACACATGTTTCATTTAAACCCATAAATGCAGCCAGTCTTTGGGCTTTCCAAAGTATGGTTTAAGCAAACAAATAACTCCACCATCTAACAGTCTGATGGATTTAGAATATTGCTTAAGGAGAAACAACAAAAACAAAAAATGTTTCATTTGGCAAGAAATGCTTCAGTTTAATTGAATTTAGAAACATGTACTTACAGAAAAATATACTGGAAGTTTTAAATAGTTTGTGTTATACAGATTACTTTTTTCTTCTTTGAAACAAACTCCAGAAAGGAGTCTCACTAAAATTGAAGCATAATGCATCTGGCTATAAAGAGTATACTTCAGAAATGATTTATCTTTAAATAGAGCAATATGTGCCTTTGAGGAACTACAAATTAATGAGGACTTCTGCCAAGTCACTGTAAAAGCTGTGTTTTAAAAACATAGTCTATCTTTTTAGGTAAATCTGATTATGTTTTCTCCCAACTCTGACTTATTCTGGGAAAAAAATCATAATAAATTACACTAGAAGAATTCGCACAAAGATTTAAAGACAATTTCAAACTTCAAGGCTTTGGTAAACTAAAGACCTGAAAGAAATTTTTTTTTTTTTTTTACCTTGCATCCATAACAAAGGTACTTTTATTGGTTCTTTCTGAAACTTTGATGACAAACAGTGTATTGTGTCCTGATTGGCCTGTGTCATCACACAAAACACGAGCTCCCATGGTCTTCTCTCCTCTACTATATTTTCATGCCTGTAACCATCTCCACTACAAATCCTGTCACCTGTCTCGCTGACTTCATCATCCAGAGGAAACTCTTTTGATAATAATAGCTAGCATTTTGGATGTCTTTATGATGTGCCAGGCACTGTTCTAAACCACTTTACCCACTTAATTTATTTAATCTTCCCAGCACCCTGTGAGATTGGCACCAATATTATTCCCACTTTACAGAAAAGGGCACTAAGGCACAGAGATGTCCCACAAGCGGCAGCGTTCAGAGCCAGGACGTGCACTGGTGCGCAGTCTGGCTCCTCAACTCTTGCCCGAGGCTCTATGCCACACGACCTCCTACAATCTTAGCTCACAGTACCTTGTTCTTTTCGTTTCTAAAACCCTTTGCTGTCCCTCCTTTTTTGCTACCCATCCCCTTGGCCACACCCTGGTCCTTTTTCCTTCACTGGGAACGGCTCCACTTCTGAAACTTCCATTCTCCTTTCCGACCTCAGCCTCCCCCCAGCTCCCTCTCCTTACCCGTGCAGCGCTCTTCTCTGACCTCAGTGCCTCTCCTGACTCCGCGTTCCCTCCCAGCTCCATCCTCTCTCATGTGCCAGGAAGCAGGGACAGTCCTCCAAACTCAGCACTGCTCTTACTCATCTCCCCACCACCCTGAACACACCACAGTGCGCTTCGTGCATCTGACACTGCGGATCACTCCCTCCTGGTCAAACACTCCACTCCCGGCCTCCATGACGTACTTTGCAGGGTCCCTTCATATGTCTCCTTTATGTGTTCTCAAATTTGGGAAACCTACTGTCCTAGTAACAGTCCCCTGCTCTTCTCACTATACACATTTTCTTGGATGATTTCTCTCACTGTCATGGAGTCGACTATCACATGCACAATAATTCCCCAAATCCTTCTCTCCAACTGAGCCTTCTCCTCTGAAGGAGACTGTGTTGCCACAGCCTGCTGGACTTCTTAATGCAGGTGTCTTCACAAGCTGTAAAACTGACAAGTCCCCAAAGAACCTTTTGATCGTCCTAAACAGCTCCTCTTTTCTGAGGTCTCTATCATCTGGCACCATCTTTCACCCAGCTATCCTTCTCTTTCCCACTTCCTAGTCGCTGGCCTCAGTCTAACTGAAGATTTTTACCTCCCAACATTATTTAGATTCACCCTCTGGTCTCTCTCCCAATGACCAGTTCAGCGTCTCATCCTCTTCAGGAAAACCACCTCCACTTACTATTCTTAGAAACTCCAGCTTGCTTCCCACAAATTCATCTTCCTCTCAGCAGAGCAATCTGTTAACAACTTGAACACAGCCATGCCCCTGTTACAAACCCTGAGGGGTTCCACATCACCTTGAGGACGAAGAACAAAGTCCTTAACAAGACCAAAACAGTCCTCCACGATCAGGACCCTCCAGCGCTTTCTTCAAAGGACTTGCTCTTGACATAGGTGGCCATGCTTTGAGACACTGTGTCTCTTGTCCATGCTGTCTTCCAGCCCGGAATACCTTCCTTTGCCCATTTCCAAAATTAAATCCTACTTCTCCTTGGAGACTCAGTACAGGCAAACCTTCTCTGAGAAGTTGTTCCTGACCCCACAGTCTAAATTATTCAGTTTTTCTGTGCACCTCATGATGCATGTCAGTAATAGTGCTTTATGTATTAATGTATCATTATAAATATGCTTATGTTCTTTTCTTTCCCACTAGATATGAGGCTCTCTGGGGGATGGGGCAGCAGTCTAATCATTTAAATATCTCAGCTCCTTGCTTGATATGGGATAACTGTTCAATACACATATTTTAAAATAAGTGAATTTCTATATAGGAAATGTTCTTCCAAAGCATTAGAAGTTGCAAGACTGACTATCCAGAATCAAATTAGTCAAGTTCTTAGTATCTGCCTACATATTTCTGTACTTAATAATAACAGTGTGACAACTTGAAAAAGTCTCCTCCCCTGCAAAGTATTCAAACACTGCTCTGCGGTATCTGGGATTGTAGCCTGAATGTGAGCTCAGAACAAGTCACTCGGAAAGAGTTTTTCTCATATAAGGCTTTGTAGGTGAAAATATGGGGGTGGACAACCCTTCACAAATGGTAGGAAGGAAATCTAATAAGCATCCTGTCTATAAATCCTAGTGGTTTAGTCATCTGATAATCACATCAACTTGCACTCATTTAAAATGCAGTTGTAAAATGGGAAGCAGGGAACAGTAGAAATGTAACAGGAGTGAAAATTGACAAGGCATGCTGATAATTAAAAATAAGCAAAAAAACCAGAAACACTGATTGTGAAAGAAATTATAAACCCTTGGCCATGAGATAATATTAAAGCCTAAGGATTTGATATACACAGTCCTTGAAACAGTAGGACAACTAGTTATTATGAATTGGAATAAGAATGTGATTTAAAGTAGCACTGGGTTCACTGGAAAACATATATTAGCACAATACCAGGGAGTTCTCAAGCCCATGAGTAAAAGAAAAAACATTTTCATGGTGATAGAATGATCCGGAAAAACACATAGTGCATCTCTTTGTTGAATGTATTTGTTAATTTTTTCTCTTACTTTTAGAATAGTTGGTCGGTCTTTGTAAATATTACTGAAGAGCACCCACCCATATTCCCACGTTAATATTAAGTATAAATTACAGGGTGGCATAGCTCACCATAGTTAAATTTCTCTTCTCTTACATAAATAAAGCACATGAGTGATGCATGATGATGCAAAGATTACTTTCGTGTGCAGTATTTTATGTGTAAATATTTTATTGTATTGTTAAAAAATTTTAAATAATATTTGTCTTAGCATAAATCAATATTTACTCATTCTAAAAAAGTTAGAAAATAATTCACCTATGTATGTTTGAGGTTGACAGACTTGTAAAATCTTTTAAAAAAGAAAGCCAGACTTTATATTATAAAGTTAGAAAACAGAACTAAGCAAAAATGAAGTAAAAACCACACAGAGATATCCAGTATACCTTAGTATATTTCCTAGTCAGACATTTTTCTACAAATATGCTTACCAAAAGTGGGATAACTATGTAATACTCTACACTATTTTATCACCTAACAACATATCATAATCTATTTCTAAAACATTAGACATTCTTTTGCACATTTAAAATGACTGCACAGTAAAGCATTACCTGATTATATAAATATTTAAAACTATCCCCTACTCTATATCTAAGATGATCTCAGTTTTTCTGTATTATAAACCATGGAGTGCAAGTAATATTTCTGCAGCAATGGAAATCTTCTATATCTTGAGAGAGTGACAGTAAATATCTACCAAAACTGATTCAATCCTGTACTTAAAACCTGCATTTCAATGCATGTTAATTATTATCTCTCTTTTTTTTTTAATCAGAAAGAGGATGCTGTGATGGACATCTTCATACTTAAACGTTTTGCAAATTAAGATAATTTCCTAAGCATAAATTTCTTAGACTGAAACTGCTGGATCAAAGTCTAAATATTTATCTTCTTAAAACATTTAATATTTATTCATTTATTTGTTCATTCAAAAATATTTACTGAGTAAAATACTTTGGCCAAGACATTGCCAAACTGCCTTCTAAAGTAAACTCAGTAGCAAATTTCTTAATTTGTGTCAATACTGTATTTCATACTTTTAAAAAAGGTCCTCCCTTGATCAGATTTTTAAAAATATTCATTACTTCTTGCTTTTTAAGAAAATTATTAATGATAGTAGAACATTTTCTTATATGTTTATTGATCATTTGTGTTTCTATCTCTACCTCTCTCATTGTGTCCTTTGTTCTTTCCCTCACTGATATTTATCCTTTACATACTGATTAAAAAAGCTTGTATTTAAGTTTCAAATACATTTTCAAAGCTTCTCATTAGTCTTTTAAAAATTTTGCTTAGAGAAGTTCTGATAGTAAGAACATTTACATTTTTATGTAGGATAGTCAAATTTGTCATGTTTCATCTTTATGGTTTTTGCCTTTGGTATCATACTTAAAACACTCTTTCCCACTGCAAAACAACATAAATAATATGTATTCTGTGATGCCCACTCTTCATTGATTGCGGGGCTAATTCTCTCACTGCCTGGGACGCTGCTATTGTATATAGAGTTCCCACCTTGGTGAGCAATCCCTTCACCGTTGGTTTGCCCTCAGGTTGCAGGAAAAGGGGGTTGGCAGCTTGTACTCGAAGAACGTTTTGTAACACTTTAATCCATTCCTCCAATATATTGGGGGAATCTGCAGTCAGATAGTATGTGTGTTTTTCAGTGGTCAACTAGAACGGGATGAGAAAGAGATAGAAAAGGAAACTAGAGATTTTAGAATAATTATCATTTCCTTGTCCATTTTTCAAATATCACTACCTAATATGGAAACAAATAAGCTGCAACTTGAATCCCAGGTTCCAAATAAATGATTCTATAAATCATGTAGCATATTTTAACCACTTTGTGAGAAGGACAATTAACTTTTTGTGGAAATAGTTTTTTCACTTCCATTTACTTTAAAACTCTTCATAGTATGCTTTGGGGTCATGATTTTTTAATCTTGTTTTCTCATTAGATTTTCCTTTTCTCCCTTAAATGTGCTATGGATTCCTAGTTGTTGAAATGAGGAGCAGAATAGTTGGTTTCAGAAGCCTACAAATGATTCTTTTTTTAAATAGATGTTTATATATATATATTTTTTAATAGATGTTTACATTTTTTAATTGGAGGAAAACTGCTTCAATGTTGTGCTGGTTTCTGCCGTACAACAATGCAAATCAGCCATAAATATACTGATTCTCCTTTCTACATTTGGGGTGGTCCTCAGGTACTAGCCACTGAAAACAATGAAAATGTACTTTTCTAATAAAATGTTGTATTTCACCCTCTAAAAGAGGAAGATAAGAAAATAACAATTATGGAAGGCATTTTAGAAATAAATCATCTGAATTTTAAGTCACCTATCCAAACTATTTCAATAGCTTGTTTTGTTTTGTTTTTTAAACTTGGCAAAGGTTTCCCAGCAAGACTGGCATTATGTGTGCGTGAAATGGTCAGAGCCCCCTCTGTGGTGTGACTTCATGGGAACTAGGACAGCCCCTCTGCTCCCTAATATCCTTCCCACTTAGGTGTAAAAGCATCTGAAGTTCACAAAACTGACATTTTCTGGTTCTCTATTAAATTGCAAACACTTCTGAATTCAATAGTACATTAAAATATGGATATCTTATTGGGAATTCATTTATCAAATAACCCTCCCCTAAAATAGCTTGACAGCTTGAGAATTGAGAATGGCTGGGAGGGTTAGGAGTGGGGAACAAAGAGTGTAAGGGATCTAGGGCAAAGAAAATACAGTGGGGACTTACTTAACATAAACTCAGGTTATAACATAGTTTTAACTAAGAAATCCCAGGGTTTTACCCATTTTAGGGGCATCAAACTGATCACCAAATGGAATAAAAAGATACTGAATACCCAGTCTTCATTCTATTAGCTTATAAAATTGAGAACTGAGTTTTACATGATATAAAAAAGAAAAAAAAATACCTGAACTGTTTGCTTGTTATCTCCTCTTAAAATGCTGCAGGATGCACTAAGTTCAATATGGCCCTGTGGTTTTCTGATTACATCACTCTGTATGAAGGGAAGAAAACCAATGCAAAGTAATTACCTGTAATAGTCATAATAATAAGTGATTTGTCTCATTAATTGCATTACATGGAAGAAAATCTGTCAGGAGGCTGATTTATAGATTGAGGAATTCAGTTCTAAATAACAAGCAATTTCTACTCACCGGAGATTTGTAGTAAAGTAATTCACCACCTTTAAGAACAAACCATCTCCGCTTCCAAGTCTTGACTTTACCACTCATTTTTAATAAGTAGCCAGATTTTTCCAGTGGTTCCTAATTAAAGAGATTTAAAAAAATATTTAGGTTCCCTTTGGAGACTCTAACAGATTCATTAATTTAAAAAAAAAAACAAAACCCTGACTAAGTGTTTACATTTTTCCCATTATCACTGGAAGATGAGCAAGTTTTCAGGAGCTTCTGCTCTGGCTGTGAGTACTCCAAGTCTGTGGAGTAAGCATCTGGGGGAATAGCATAATCACTTTCAGAGGCCACAGAAGAGAGAGACACACCTAGATGAAAAGAAATAAATCAAGTCAATATTTAGTAACTGGATGGTCCAAATGCTGGTTGTCAGTTTTCCTAAGAAAATACATCCATATCCCAAATCATTACCCTTCCTAGACTAGATGTATTCCATACCTTTGACCATGAAGTACCTTTAAGGCAGAAAACAAAACTAAAGGGTTAAGGACTATCATGCAGATCTCCAAGGAAGTCAAAGAAACATAAATAATATTTTGGGATGATTGTTAAGTACAGCTTTTTTCACATATATGAAGTGTATGTAATAGTCTAATAATGGGTTTTATTAAGAATTAAAAATATGTGTATTTACATATTGACATGTAGGCAAATCACTGAGTTGGGAAGATCCCCTGGAGGAGGAAATGGCAACCCACTCCAGTATTCTTGCCTGAAATATCCCATGGACAGAGAAGCCTGGCGGGCTACAGTCCATGGGATCACAAAGAATCGGACACGACTGAAGCACCTGAGCACAGAGAGCACATGCATACGTAGGCAAACAAATGTTGAACCTTAATTTATCAAGATCTGTATGATCACACTTTAATACACTTAATTTTTGTAATCATTTTAAAGTAACATCACATTAAAAGAACATAGGAGTCCAATACTACTAGTGTATAGATTTTGAAAATCTTGCATAAAAGAGAAGCAATAAAAAAAGATATAAACAGACTATTTCATTTGCCAGCAGCTATAATGCAAAATTCAAAGGAACATTTTTCGCAATAATTCACTTGCCATTTTAGAAAACAACTTGCAAGTTGCAAGTCACATTGGAGAGCCACTACAACTGGAGATTTTGAAAATATTAAATAAAATCAAGAACTTAAGTCATTATTCATTATAGTATCTGGCAATTTTTAAAGTATCTATTAACATTTAAGGGCCATGTTAGGATAATTTCACTATATTATTCTTCTAATTTATTTGACTAAGCCAAGTAATGGATGTGATAATAGTAGCATCTTTATTTTTCAAAGAATAACAGAAATTTCAATCTACCAAAGAACTTAGAGATCATTCTGGTTCAGGCCCTCATTCTCTAAGGAGACTAAGGTCCACAGATTAAACGATTTGTCCAAAGTCAAATAGCCAGGCAGAGGCAATGTTGGAATGCAAATCTCAGGCTCTTAGCCTCAAGATGCTAGGGACAGAGCAGAGAACAAAACAAATTTCTGTCCTCGTGGAACACAGATTCTAGTTGGGGGAGACAGACAAAAAACAGAGAGCAAATGCTATGGAAAAATAAACCATAGAGCCAACTAAAGAAAATAAAAAGTGCTAGAAGTTGGAGAAGAGTAAAGGACTGCACTGGAATAGTGTAGTCAGGGTAGAGCTCATTGAGAAGGCAGTGTCTGAGCCGAGCAGGAACCAGCCATAATGACATCTAGGGGAAGAATACCAAGTAGAGCAAATACTCAGTGCACAGGTCCTGAAACAAAAGCATACCTGGCATGTTCCAGGAATAGCAAAAGGGTCTGGGTGGCCAGAGCTGAGTAAGAGAGGAGAAAGGAGGAGATGAGGTCAAAGACATCAAAGAATCATGTAATACGATAGAGTCAATATAAGGAGTCCTTGCAATGTTTTGAGCAAAAGTGTGGTATAACCTGATTCCAGCTGTCAAGGGGGCAAGGTAGTAGCAAAGAGACCAATGGAAGCCAAAATATTAAACCTATGAGAGCTGAACAGGTCCTGTTGAAGCTGAGGGGCTTGGGAGTACATAGGGGTTCCATGGAACAGTTTCAAAACCAACATGCTATGCCACATAGCTTTTGTGAAATACAGATATCATTTAATATGACTGACTCTCTCTAGAACCTGTATCTATACTGAACATTTCTTCAAAATTCACAAAAATTGTAGACCTGCCCAAAGTAAGTTTCTTAATATCAGATTAACCACATTAATACACCACATTTTTAGGTGTATTCTCTGCCATTTAGCAGTGTAATGAATTTAGCTGAAATAAGTCCATCCATCCTATAAATTACTCAAAATCAAAAAGTAACTATAAAAGAAAAACCTCATTTAAGCCAAGTATTTCACTTTATTCCTATAACGAAGTGATCTCTCTTTCACAGAGAAGCTTTAAAAAAATAGATTATCTTGTCTGCAATCACAAAGAAAATTCAGAAGAGGATTAGGACTAAAATATGTGTCTTAGTCCTCAGTGAATACTCTTTTCACTATGAGCTTCCCGGTGGTGCTAGTGGAAAAAAAAGACAAAAAACAAAAAACCTACCTGCCAAGTGCAAGAGACGTAAGAGACGCAGGTTCCATCCCTGGGTCAGGAAGATCCCATGGAGGAGGGCATGGCAACCCACTCCAGTATTCTTGCCTGGAGAATCCCATGGACAGAGGAGCTTGGCAGGCTACAGTCCATAGGGTCATAAACAGTCGGACACGACTGAAGTGACTTAGCACGTGCGAGTGGAAAGCAGTACTTTGAGATTTTTTTGTAAGTCTTATTGAGAGATAAAATTCCCACTAAATATCCTGAACTATTTGGAGCTGCCCTGTGTGTGTGCAACCATCCCTTACCTCGCTTCAAGGCTCTGGGGCTGCCTGGCCCACTCCGACTGCGAGAGTCTGATTCCGAGGTCCGGGAGCTGGATCTTGAACTGTCTTCTTCTTCTGACCCAGAGGAGTCGTCCAGGAACGGGCTGCTGCTTATCTGGGTCGCCTTCTAAAGAGAAACAAAACAGCCTCCCTATGTGTCCATCACCAAAGTTATCTTTCTCTTTAGGAACAGAATTTTACCAAAAGTTATGGAATAAGGTTTTTTTTAAGGAATAGAAGAAAGCATCTTTCTATTATCAAAGTCACACTTGTTAAATTCCAGATTCCAATCAGCAAAGCATTTGTAAATGATAAAAGATTCCTAAGACCATAAGACTGTTCATATCTGATACTTTTTTTCTGATGATACTTATTTTAATCAGGCACTTCACGCAAGGGAGGGGAACCCTGGCAGTGATTTGAAGAGCTTTCTAAATTAGTTGCTTTCTTTACACCATTAACACTATTTCCTTTAAACAATTAACAGTTATGGATGGGGTAGAGGCTCACATGCAGCATAACAAAAATGGAGCATATCAGACCTCTATTATCCTGATTAAAATAAATATCTTGAGATTTTTCCATTTCTTCTCTTTTAATAATGTGCTAGTACGAACTTCTAAAACTCCCTATAAAGGGAGTTTATATAAAATGTTAAGAATGGAATTTGGAGCTTGAATAAACAGTTTTTTTGATCCACCATGAAGAGACCCACGTGTTTAACAATAATGAGTTACCCCCTTCAATGTTGTATACACTGGGGTTGTCATGTTCTTGTATATCAGAGATGTATAAAGTCCTGATGTGGTGTAGGAAAGCATTGCAACAGAATCTGAAACAGAAAACAAAATTGTTTTTTAAAAAAAATAGATCTAACTAGCACTTAGGTCTATTTATTATGAATGTGAATTAACAAAATTTCTAATTAAAGAGACACTGGATGAATACACAATACTTATTATGCAGCCTACTTTAAGAACGATGGCATCTACAGTTTAAATTATACACTCTCTTACATGGTTCATTACATACCCAAGTGTGCTAGCTCCCCAACTAGCCGATAACCTCTTTGAAAGTGAGGATTTTGTTTCTTTGGTATCTCCATTCAGCCCAGGCTGGGTGGAAATGAGTACAAACACCTACTGACTGATTCAGTGAGCAGTATCCCGTGAAGATATTCTCTGATTATTCAGAGCCCTATTGGTGACCCGGCGTTAAAATATCATCACTTTTAATCCTTTAGCAGGTGAACCTCAAATTGAAAGGTTAGAATATATTTCCTGAGTGGCAAAAACCAATGATAGATAGCCGAAAAGGAACAGAACATTAATGGTTACCTTTAAGATACAGATTACAGATAGGAAAGGAAGGGGCCAGCAGAAGGAACTACAGAAAAATGTCTCTTTTTATTTCAGACAGTTCTTTGTGGTTTGGTTTTATTTTTCATAATGAGCATGTATTTTTTTCTATAATAAATTTCTGAAGAAAGAAAGAAAGGAGGAAGTGTTTTAAACACTGGAAAAAGAAGACATAGAGATCAATATTTTTACAATTTAAACAGCTGAAATTGCAGTGTCCAGGCTTTTGCTTCTCTGGGATAAAATCATGACATACTTGCTACATGAGAGTTGACCATCAATGTGCCCCTATACTAACATGAATTTCAATTTTAAAATATAAATCAGCAACTTCAGAAAGCATTTTCTGAAAGTTGGCAAAGCTGTGTTTATTCAAATGACTTTAGACATTTAGGAAATTCTTGGCTAGTGAAATGGCAGTACAAAATCACTTATTCTTTAAAAAAATATTTTTATTATAGTAAAAAACACATAAGACAATATTTACCATCTTAACCACCTTTGAGTTCAGTTAGTGTTAAGCATATTCACACTGTTGTCAATCAGATCTCCAAAACATTTGTATCTTGAAAATCTGAAACTCTATACCCATTAAGCAACTGCTCCCTTTCCCCAACTCTTCGTAACCCCTAGGAACCACAACTCTGCTTTCTGATTCTATGAATCTGACTACTTTGGATACCTCATGTAAGTGGACTTATGCAGTGTTTGTCTTTTGTGACTGCTTATTTCAATTAGCACAAAGTGCTCAAGGTTCATTCATGATGCAGCATGCAAAAACACTTACTTTTATGAACATTCTCCATATTGAAGGCCTCAGACATTCGAATGCCTGATTTGGCTACAGCATAAATTCTGCTTTCCTAATGTAAAAGAGAGATTTAAGCTGGATATTTGAAGCAAAGAAGCAATTACTTTCAATACATATGTTTTTCATTTGTTCTTCATTTAACAGTCACCAGAGTACAGCATTATTATAAAACTATCACCAGTGCCAACTAAAATATGCCACTGTGAACAGCACTGCAGAATTTTTTTCCATCAATTAGTCACTCCATTATCTTTGTTCCCAAATTTTTGCTTAGTATTTTAAATTATTTTGAAAGGACAGGAAAAAAGTAAAAGAAAGCTTGTTCACAACCACTGATTATTCATAAACACCACCATTAATATGCCATCATTTCAGAGCATGGTCCAAGAAAAAGAAGAAAACCTTGAATGACTGTAACATAAAGCCAGAAACCATTTCTTATCTTTCACTACACACAAATATCCTCTTTAACAATCTACCATTCTAGAATATGGTTAAAGAAAAAGAGAAAGCCAAAACTTGAAGTCAGAAAGCACATACAAAGTAGCATTAAGTGCTATCACCTTCATATTTCAATGAAGTTGAAGAAACACCTGAAGTCAAATAATAAGTGAATTTGAGAATTGCAATAGAATTTATACAATCTTGTTCCAAAAGTGGGTTGTTATTTTGTTTTCTCTTCTTCTGTGAGATTTCTCAAATGGGTACTGGAAGGCTATTGGCCCTGTCCCTATGAGAAAAGGGACTCCAGGTTGTTCCTCACACATAGATCACCATGTCCTGAACTTTGTAACCCACCTAACCTGCACAATTGTCTGGGTCAGGACACAGCTGGCAACTCAGGCAGTCCTCTTTAGGACTATACTAGCCAGGCGCTTTGAAGCAATGTGTATGAAATCTCTAATCATATGAGACACTTTAGATTGAAAAGTCACTGATGGAATGAATCAGAGGCAGCTTCTCTGACAGCGTGATGGTGAGATACACACAGAGACAAATAGCAGAGTGGAGAGAACAAAAAGACACATAAAAATAAGATAGTAAGTGAGAAGCCATGAGAGAGGCAAAGGTGATAGTCAGCAGTCGTGAGAGAAGCAGACAGTCACTGCAGACAGGACAGGGCAAGCTGAGCCATGGGACCAGGGACAATGGGTGTCACCTGTCTCTAAGGTGCTGACCATCAGAGGTGCTGCGGAATCATCACATGACCTGCTGGAGTGACTGCTGTACTTTTGAATGATATTCCAGTTCAATAACGATGGGCTATGCCTTAAAATAAACCCCTAAAAGCTCTTAAAATAAACTTTCATAAATTGAGGTGATTAGAATATACCTCTTTAACATGCAACTTGAAAATACTCAACAAACAGAAATAAAACCTCAAACTTGGCCAATGTGCTAGAAGGCTTCTGCAAGGCAATACTACTTTTTCAGGACTGGATAGCTTCAGAAGATGAAGTGAAGAGAGAAAGGCAAAAAAGCAGTAAAAATGGTTTGCCAAGTAAAATGAACGTGAAAGCCTAGCCTAAATCGCCAACATAATCTCAACATAACAAAAGAAGCAAAATTTCAACTCCTAACTGCCAAAAGGGTAACATAATTGGAATTCCAGAGATTCACATGCCAATAATGTCCATTTGTTATGTTATCCAGAATTCAGTAATAAACTGCAGGTGGTTTCAAGTGGACTTTGCAATGAAATGTTCTTTTAAAAGTAAATAAAAGGGATACATCTCAAGGTCTGAATTTATAGTTGGAAAACATAATTGCCTTATTTGCTTAAAACTGCATTGGTCACTAAATAAAAAATAATAACAGAGCATGACTCTGAAAACCTCAAAATCCTGCAAACCAGATGATTCTCTTGAGGCTAAGGGTTAAACTATGTCAGTATGTGAAGGAAAACTTCAATCTAAAAAACAGATAATTTCACTTTGTTTCAAACATGGGAAGAATTTTTAAAAATTATTTTCATGAATTTATTTGGGGGGCTGTGCTGGGTCTTCATGTGGCACATGGGCTCTCTACTTGCACCTCATGGACTTAGTTGCCTGGAGCATGTGGGATCTCAGTTCCCCAATCAAGGATTGAACTCCCATCCTTTGCATTGGAAGGTGGACTCCTAAACACTGGATCATCAGGGAGGTCTCAGGAAGAATTTTCTTAATCCAGTGATTCCCAAGAAAGTGAAAGTGTTGGTCACTTCGGTTGTGTCTGACTCCTTGTGACCCCATGGATCGCAGCCCACCAGGCTTCTCTGTCCATGGGATTCCCCAGGCAAGAATACTGGAGTGGAGTGCCATTTCCTTCTCCAGGAGATCTTCCTGACCCAGTGATCGCACCCAAGTCTCCTGTATTGCAGGATGATTCTTTACTGTCTGAGCCATCAGGAAGCCCAAGAATCACACAATTAATAGGTTAATTATTATATTAATGGTCAATGTTTCAATGGAAGAAATTTCAAACTATTCTAGATACAGGAAGATGCTTTTGGTTAAAGCAATGGATTGATAAGTTCATGACGAGTAAAATTAAATTTCTCTTAAAGCCAATCAAATAAATAATTAAGTTCAAAACTTGATGACCAGCAGGTATCCTGGTCCAGAATTTACCCACCATTAGAGAGAACCCTTTTTCCTCACCCTGATATTTCCATGTGGTATGCATGTGTGCTAGGTCGTTTCAGTCGCGTCCGACTCTCTGCAACCCTATGGGCTGTAGCCCGCCAGGCTCTCCCATCCGTGGAATTTTCCAGGCAAGAATACTGGAGTGGGTTACCATGCCATCCTCCAGGGGATCTTCCCAACCTAGGGATCCAACCCGCATCTCTTACATCTTCTGCATTGGCAGGTGGGTTCTTTACCACTAAATCCACCTGAGAAGCCCCCTTCCATGTGGAAGGCACTCCAAAAATTGAACACTCCTGAGCTCTAGCCAACCATCCACTTCCTCCTCTCTAAGAAAAAGGAGTGGCTTAATGTGACAGGAATGCCTAGAAGGAGAAACTGGACATGCAGAGACCAGCATCTTCCCCTTTCCTTTCTCTTGAGAAGTAGCTGTTGCACAAGAACAACCATTTGTTCTTTCTCTAGGTCATAAGCTTTAGAGAAGCCGGGCCTCACTGGAGGGAGTCTGTGGCAGTTGGTCCAACACTACCTGCGCCTGGGTGGCAAAATCCAGCAATTTCCTAGGTGCAGTATTGGCTCCTGTGCCCACTAATTCTCTAAAATCTGTTTTATCAGTAATAAAGGTAACATCTGGATCTCCCATTTGTCTTACCCTTGTGTCTTATTTCTCAACTGATTCAAGGGAAAAGAGAAGGGAAAACTGAATTCTAAAAACTGGGGATGGTCAGAACAAAGCTGGACTGGAAAAGAACCAGGAAAAGAAGTAAAGTAAAATCAGAAAATGAGTGTTGAGAAAAAACAAATGTGTGTGCACTGCACACAGTAACGTAATTTACCCAAGAGGGAAACCGGTGCAGAGGTGGAGTTGGAGGTTTGCCACAGGCTGCCTTCTTTGCTGAATCGCAGGCTTCCTGGTCCTCTGAACATGGGGATTCCAAGCAGTCATAGGAAAATAATCCATCATCACAATTAGTGTCCATGGTCTCTAAAATTTCTGTATTGTCGCCATCAACTAGATCAAGATCTGTTTCCTGAGGTCTCAGTGGACGTATCATGCTTATAGCGTTTCTGTTTGTGCCAAACATCCTGTCGGAACTTAACTGTGGCTGGCTTAGGTGCCTTTTGGCTAGTGCAATGCTTAAGCTGAAAATATTAGGAATCCTTAATTTGGGGGGTGGCAGAGTTGAGGAAGGTCCTGGTTCGGTGCCTTTTCCAAGGAGTGGGTTAGGATGCTTTGGACTCAAAGCTGGGGTCAGAATAGGGCTTGGGGTGTTGGCTTCACTCGAGGAAGACGAATAATCCAACCTCTGAGACTGAAATTTTTTATTGAGTTCGTCTGAGGAACTATCACGCTCCTTTTTCCTTGATCCGGAATTTCCCTTTCCGAGAGGACAATTCTGAGCCTTCCACTGTGCCTCCTGTTGCCAAGAATACAGCTTCTTGTGTTCTGGTCTCTTTATGCCAAAGGTCTCTTCTTCAAATACTGAACTGCTGTCGTCAGAGGCTGTGAGATACGTCTCACTGCCCACCCTGCTACTTTGGACCCCCTCCTCTGACGTGTGGCTGGAAAGCGTAGACGTGTACCTGGACTTGGATCTTCCTTTGCTCCCATCTTCCTCATCGGAACTCCAGTCACTCCCAGGAGCCCCAGAGTTCTGGGATGCACCACCATCCATCACAAAGCTCGTCCTTGTTTTACGTGTCTGCTCTGACATGCAGGGGCCTTGATGCAGTGTTCTCTGACCTCGGTTGTTTTCTTGAATTTGGTTATCAACAGATTTTTCTGGAATTTCCATCTCTAGAAAAGTATACAGTATATTGGCATGCTGTCTTTAATCATACAATTTTTCTGTACATTTAGCTTTATATATCTACACTGTACAGACTGGAATTTTCATTTGAATCAAGTTGATTTACATTATGCTTTAGTTCAATGTCTTTTTTAAACGCAAGTTTGAAAACTGTAAGCTTCCTATAGACTACAATGCCCTTACACTCAACAGAATAGTATCAAAATGAAACTGCTTTTTACAAAGAAACATGGAGGAAAAAAACTGACAATAGACCAAGGAGCGATAATACAAGAAGCAAAATGAAAAACAGGGCGACACTGACTATCAAAGATAGCAGCCACTAGAAAAATGAACACCATTAATTCTATTTTAGAAGCAAAAAAAAATGACAACCCTATTTCTACTAAATTTCAGAATTATCATAAGTAAATTAAAACATAATAAATATAAAGCTATTGTTTAAAAAACCTTTATTCCCAAGCTTCAATACATGAAATATGCAAAACCGTAAAGAAAACATACACAGAGAAAAGCTTTCCTCACTCTATTTTGGTTTAATCATAACTACAAAATATATCTTTATAATAAAAATAACAGTCTTTAAAAATGTCTTTAGACATGGCTTATTTTTGTTAATAACATAACTAATAGAATGAACCACTGACTTCATAAACAATGAACTTAAAATACAGTCTGAAGAGTACAAAAGAAAAACTTTGAAAATGTGAAAACACGGACAGGATCTTCATAATTAAGGCTATACAGGCTCCACAAATGGGTATCAGGCAGTCTGTTAAATCTGCAGATGAGCAAGAGCTACAGTCCAGGCCACCTCAGCTGAACTGAGCTTTACTGAATTGAAAGTGAGAAAGTTAGAAAGTGAGGAAAAAATGAAAGTGATTTCTCAAAAAAAAAAAAAAAAATCCACATAACAGCATAAAAGCAAGTACCAAAGGAACCCTTTGAACAGAAAAAACATTATGTAGTTTTCAGAAGTTCATAACCAAGCATAGAGACAGCTCTTAGGGCTATAATTTTTCTCCTTAGGAGGAAGGAAGCAGGAGCTGAAAATAGAAAAGATGCAAGTTCAAGTCTCTCTAAAATACTTGGGAAAAGTCACACTGGTGTTGACAAAGCCAGAAGCCAAATAAAGCATAACTCAGAAGGGCTTTAAGGCTAAAAGAAGGGTACAAATCTGCACACAGGTCCAGAGTTTGAACATGTGGCAAATACTTTCTTCTTTGAGGCAACAAAGGGAAATCAAAGCAGTTAACTAAATTTTCACCTGGTGTTCTTTTTCTTTGAGTTTGTTGCATCGTATTTAATTTCATATTGAATATTAGATAATTTTTTATATTTTAAATAAATAATGAATAGGAAGGTCACACTCCTAATCTGAAACTCACATTACTCTTAACAAATGATTTTTTCTTTTTAATAAAAGGAAATTCCTTAAAGTAAATTTAAAGTAAATTCCTCTAGTTCATAAATACCTTCTATGTCTTTTCCTTCCGTGAACTCAGGTTCTTTAGATGATATCTTGCTCGTTTCCTCAGATTTTACAACTTGAGGAGGACTCCTTGCTCGGGACAAAAAGCACCCAAAGGTCAGACTGCTCAGACGCTGGCCTTCTGAAAGCTTTGGTGTGGAAACAACTGACTTCTTTCCTTGAACTTCTACAAGACCATTAATCGAAATCAAGATCTGAATTTTTCATAACACTTTGTTAAACAGAGAACCAAAGCATAAATAAAAACATGGACAAATCACTCCTTAGACCAGAAAAAAGCCTAAATTTCATCTTTATTTCTGTATAATAACTTGGAACCCTCAATGTCGAGCACCACCCACCAATGTTTAATATCTGCTTATATATTTTGATGGTACAAAATATTTTTTAACTGCAGAGAAAACTTTCTAATCCTTTTAAAAGTAGTTAGCTCTCAAACAAGCCACAAACAAACAAAAATCCAGATATAAATATAAACAACTTGAGAGTTACAGCTTCTTGCAGTGTCAAGTACTAGTAAATACCAATGAAGTATGTACTGATAAATTTGATTGTTGGGTAATGCTACTAATAGTGAGAAAGTGGGAATGAGGTCTTGGTTGTTAAGACAACCCAGGAAAATTTAGAAGATCACTGGGGCAAATATCACATGATCACTGGAGTAACTTTTGCTTGTCATAGTTTTCAGTGTGGTTCTCATAAGAGAGCAAATAAAGGGGCTTAGTCTATGACCATGATATGGAGAACCTTAATCACACAGAGGAAAAAAAGGGGAGGGGAAAGTTTCTAGACAGAGAATTCAGATAGCTAGGTGAGTGATTACTCAAGCACCTAGTGAAAGTGAAAGTCGCCCAGTTGTGTCCAACTCTTTGTGATCCCATGGAATTCTCTAGGCCAGAATACTGGAGTAGGTAGCCTTTCCCTTCTCCAGAGGATCTTCCCAACCCAGGGATCGAACCCAGGTCTCCTGCACTGCAAGTGGATTCTTTACCAGCTGAGCCACAAGGCAAGCCCAAGAATAATGGAGTGGGTAGCCTATCCCTTCTCCAGGGGATCTTCCTGACCCAGGAATCAAACCAGGGTCTCCTGCATTGCAGGCAGATTCTTTACCAACTGATCTATCAGGGAAGCCTGATAGAAAGCATCTAATCATGCGTTTAATTCATCTTCTGGGACTTGTAGCACTGCTGCTTATAAGATTAAAAACATGGAGTTTTCAGTGATATAGTAAGAAAAGTTTCCAAGAAATTAAATTCTCAACTTTGAAAGAACACCAAAGGGTAAAGTTAAATAGTAACTGATAATTGGATAGAGATAAAAAATATCTTTAAACAATGTCCACCTTCAGATGTATCTTTTAATATTTTCATATTGACCAAAGAACTCACAGAACTAATTCATGATATTTTAATAATCACATATACACATGAAGTGAAGTGAAGTGAAGTCACTCAATTGTGTCCGACTCTTTGCGACTGTAGCCCACCAGGCTCCTCTGTCTGTGGGATTCTCCAGGCAAGAATACTGGAGTGGGTTGCCATTTCCTTCTCCAGCATATACACATAGATATTTTGAAAGCACTATATCATATCTATATACGTCATATTTATTCTTCTCCAGTAATGCCTAGGTTCCAAGGATCAATAATCCTTAGTCTCCAAAACTAGAAGGCTACCAGTGAGGACTAGAATTGCAAGCAAAAAGTATCAGGGAAATAGCATTTTATGATTAGGCTTAGTACATATGATCTATTTCAAAGAGGGTGAACAACACGAAGACCTAAAGCTTTACTTATAAATATGGAATTCCAGATCAACTAGAAGAATACCAATTTTTTTTATTATATAGGTAGAGGAGATGTGTTACATAAGAAATATATTTTGGTCTTCATCCATGGTTCCTGGCACACAGCTCCTAAAACCCTTGGAATTTCCTATGAGTGATAAAAATGTCTTTTGTTTTCATAACAAGCCCTTTCAAACACTTCTGAATATATATTAATGAGGTGATTTCTGGAAAGCCCTGAGATGGTCTCAGGATGGGGTTGCCAGGGGAAACCAACCAAATCATGAGAGGGTTAGAAATTTCAGCCTCACCCTCCACTCCCTACCTCTGACCTCAGGGGAGGAGGAAAGGGGCTGGAGGTTGAATTGATCACCAGTGGCCAATGATTTCATCAATCATGCATCCCTACATAGTGAAACCTCCATTAAACCTCAGAAGGATAGGGTTCAGGATGCTGCAAGTTGGTGAACACATGGAGATGCTGGGAGGGTTTTTACCTGGTAAGAGGCTGGGAATTCTGTGCCCCTCCTCCCATATCTTGCCCTATGCATCTCTTCTATCTGACTCTTCTTGAGTTACATCCTTTGTAATAACCCAGTAATCTAGGAAGTAAACTGAGTTCTGTGACCCTTTTCAGCAAATTATTGAACCCAAGGAAGGGATCTTGGGAAACTTGGATTTACAGTCTGTTGGACAGAAGCAAAACTATCCCTCTGTATTTGTGTGTGAGTTCAGTGCCTGATCAGAGTGGAGGTGGGTAGTTTTGTGGGGCTGAGGGATCCGGTGCTATCCAAGTAGATAATGTCGGAAGTGAGTTAAATTTGTAGGACACCCAGTCGGTGTATGTTGAGAACTGGATAATTACTTAGTGTAGGAAAAACTTGCACACATCTCATATGAGAAATATTAAGAGACAGAAAACAGGAGTCTTTTCCCTTTACAGAATGACAGCAATAGATACTAACATGCAGTAGACAAAATGCTTTCACACATCCTATAATCAATACCCTCCATGAAACTAGTTAGACACTATTACAATCACCATTTTACTGATGCAGGAAGAAAACGAGATATTGTGGGGCATTAAAGTTGATTTCAAAGCCCAAGTTCTTTCTACCACACCAGTATTCTTCCAATGCATTCTATGAAACTCCAGGGCTTTGTGGAAATGTTGCAGAGAAACAAGAAGAGGCAAGAAGTGCAAGAAGAGGCATGGGTGAGACCAGGTCTGCAGAACTCTGGACCCGTAACTCAATACAATTTTTACCAATTTTTACTTAAGATTCTACAGGAAAAAATGTTTTAAAAAGGGTTCTTCTAAGACTTCCCCAGCAGTCCAGTGTTTAAGACTCTGCCTTCCAAGGCAGGGGGTGTGGGTTCAATCCCTAGTCAGGGAACTAAGATCCCACATGCCACAGGGTACAACCAAAAAATTAAAAAATAAACTTGTTTTTTAAAAAATCACTCATTAAAAAAAGAAAGGGGTCTGCTGCTAAATAAAAGTTTGAAAAGCACTATCCTAGGCCATCGGTCTAAGAAGCACAAGCTAAGTATACACCCTGGTGACCTACCTTCTGGTCAGCTATATGTGTACTTGCGTGGCTATCACACCAATAGCATATTAATAAGTAAATCTCTATCTTTAACTCTATTACCCATCCTTTGGCTTTGGAGTTAAAAAGAAAACAGGCCTAAGTATTGGAAAATGCAAACAGCTTATTCACATAAAATTTTGTGCAAAATATTCAGGTTTTAAGAATTTCAATCACCAATGAGCACAACACTATAAAGTGAAAATAGAAAACAACAAGACTGATTATTTTAAGTAAACATACCCCAAAATTAAATGTTCAAATTACCCTCTTTGGGTTATTCACTACTGTCTAGCTATGCTCATATGGACATGTGGCTATTAAAATTTAAATCAATTCAAATTAAATAAAATGTAAAGTTCAGTTCCTTAAGTTGCACAAGTCATATTTCAAGTGCTCAACAGTAAAATTCTACACAGGCAAATAAATCGAATTAGGCTACCTTAGTCAAGTGCCCATACCTTGTAGTTTCGACTGTATTGTTTTTATCTCTTCAGTTTGGTTTTGGTTGATCAAACGAAGATTCTGATTCTCCAATTCCAACTAAAAGAAAATAATTTCTAAAATGTACCAGTAAATTGTAACATTGAGAAAATGTTAATACCTCATTAAACATAAACAAAATACAAAAGAAATAACTAAATATCAGATGAATTTATCGGCACAGAATATCAACCTAGATAATTATGACTTTAATATTTATTCTTTCCAGAGCTAAAAGTTTTCAATGTTTTTCACCCCTATGCCTTTACCACTGTGAAGTTATTTTAAACCAAATTATTTCAGCATTTAGTCTGACATATAAACTAAATAATGTGTACCACTCATATAATATTGAATACATTAATTTTATGAGAAATATGAGAAATTAATATTTCTTCTCTAATTACTTAAAGTTAACTATTTAGAACTAAAATCAGCTAATTAGAACAAGGCTACTTAAGACTGATTATCATGATTCTATCAATCCTTTTTTAACTTTAGAATTACATAGGCCATTAAAGTGAAAGCTACCTATCTCATATTAATCAAAAGTCAGCAGCACCACCAACTGATCAAAATTTGTTTCAGATATTCTGATGACTGATCTATTTGAAAGAAAGAAAAGGTTAAGAAAAGATAAATATGGCAATAAATACCTCATTCAACTTAACTGTTACCCACTCTTTGATCTTAGCTGCTTTCTCTTCTATTATTTTAGCTTCTTGAATCCTTATTTGTTTCTGAAATAACAATAGCAGTTTGTTTAGTTCAAACATAAGCTCACTGGCCTGGAAACAGTACAGTTACAGACATGAAAGACAAGTCTACTTAAAACTTGTTTTCAAGCTAAGATGTCTACCTTTAAATTACCAAAAGAGGATAAAATGAGAATGGCTGTCCAGCAGACAGAATAATAAAAGCATACATATATATTTCTAGTTTTAACATCTGCTAGTCTTTCTCTGAAAGGTCATATGCCAAAATCAATCCACTGAAATTATCAATAAAATAAACCATTTCTGGAAACACCAGGGTTTAGAACAGTGGAAGAGAAGTCAACCAGCTGAGTGAGAGGAGAATTAGAATCTCTTCTGGGGTATGGCTTGCTTCCCCCTCAAGTGCTATAGTTTTAAAAGGTTCAGAAAAAATAAAGATTGAGAAACTCTAGCTCACATCTTGGAAAAGGAAATGGCAAACCTCTTCAGTACTCTTGCCTGGAAAATTCCACGGACAGAGGAGCCTGGCGGCCTACAGTCCACGGGGTTGCAAAGAGGAGCACACGACTGAGCAGCTGAGCGCAGCTCACACCTGCCAACCTTTAAACCCGGCTGTGGCTCAGTCATGCTGAGAGCATGACTGTCAATAAATCCCCGTCGGTGGGGGCTGAAAACCACAGCTCTGTACAGCAACAGTGACATCCAGAGAAGTGAAAAAAATGCTACAAATAAATGATTAATCACTGAATAATTTTACAGTGGTTATATCTAATTGATGCTAAAGGACTTTTTAGGTTAATAACCTTAATGCAATTTTTTTCTTAAAAATTAAAAAAAATAAATACTATAAATTTGATCTCAATAGTCAAAGTGAAAGTGAGCTCACTCAGTCGTGTCCAAATCTTTGCAACCCCATGGACTGCAGTCCACCAGGCTCCTCCGTCCATGGGATTCTCCAGGCAAGAATACTGGAGTGGGTAGCCATTTCCTTCTCCAGAGGATCTTCCGACCCAGGAATTGAACCCAGATCTCCCACACTGCAGGCAATCGCTTTAACCTCTGTGCCACCAGGGAAGCCCTTGATCTCAATAAAGTGATTTAAAAACAGTGTACACATTTCTAAGCAGAAGGATTAGTGTCAAACACATGTTTAAATTTTAACCTTCCATAAACATTTCTAACACCCTAACAATCTAAAGCAAAGACTTATTGGAAACATTTTACAGGCATAAATGCCTGCTGATAACCAAGTGTTTCCAACATAAAGACTCACATCCAGAAAGTGGTAGATACTGCCTTGGAATCATTCTGGACTTAAAGATAATGTATTTAACTTGCACTTTTCACCAGTAAATGTGATGTAATTTTAGGGGTTACCAAGTGAGATTCCTGACCAAAATTTAGAAATTTAGGCTTTCTCTTTGTAATCTTTGCAATTATGTGTAAATGAATGCACATATTTAGGACTCTTTGATGATCAGATTCTTCCTAACCTGCTCTTCAAGTTGCAGTTCCAAGTTTTGAATGATGTCTTCTTTTTCCTGTATTAGAGTTTCCAGATCTTGACACTTTTTATACAACCTTGTCTCTGATTCACTGGTTTGAATATTAGCTGCTTTTAACTTCTCTTCCATAACTTGTACCTAAATTCAGAGGAGAAAATATAAAAACTATGCATGTACTTAATTTATTATAGTATTGAATTCAGATTTTACTTTAACATTAAATAGATTCCTAAAAGATATCATCATAAAAGGAAAATGGTGAACAGTTTTTAATATTTAACAACTATAAAGTTTAAAGACTAGACTATTTTCCCAAGTGATGTTAATTCTGAGGTGTATGAGGATACATAAAAGATTCTCAGGATGGGATGGTGTGGGGAGGGAGGTGGAAGCGGGGTTCAAGATGGGGAACACATGTACACCTATGGCTGATTCATGTCAATGTATGGCAAAAATCACTACAATAATGTAAAGTAATTAGCCTCCAATTAAAATAAATTAATTTTTATAAAGAGTCTCAGAATATTGCTGTCATGTAAGGAAATGTACATGTTAATTAGATCTATGATAATATGCAAATTATCATATAAGCATAGAGTCAGAAAGTTTCAGCCCTCATTTTTTCATATTTAAAAAAAGTAAGAATATCAAGTAAAAAAGTTGAATGGGGAGATAACACTCAGATTGGAGGACCTAGAATAATAACACACCCTAGGGAAAAAAACGCTGAACTTCAGGTGAAAAAGATACATATTTTCGACGGAAAACAAAAGAACCTTAAAACCCCAATGATGAAGTCATAGAAAGTGAAAAAGTGTGACAGTCAAGATAGAGGTAGAAGAATACATTCTGTGGGGATTTATGGATTCAATACTTTAACAAATATTCAATGAACACTTGCCAAGAGCCAGGCCTAGTCCAGGTCCTAAGAAGACATCAGTTTTAATAAAGCAGACCCCCCACCCCGCCAAATCTCTACCTGCATAGCAATTACCTTCTAGTAGGTAAGAGAGATCACAAATACAATAAAGACTAAAAATCACACAGTATGTTACAGATGGCAATAAAGCTAATGGGCAAAATAAAGCAAGACAAAAGAGATCGCTATAAGACTAGGGGCTGTTATGCTTCACTTTAATATATAACATACACTGGCTCTGCTTGGATATTCTGCAAAACACATCTGGGTATACAAAATCTTTGAAGAGATATGTGTGATGTTAATATTAGTAAGAAAGAAAATAAAGTACTGGGCACCATACACTATATTAAGACTTTTATTCTATATACTCCCAATAGGTAAGAATGTAATTTTAGTCATGTTTCAGAATATAGGGGACAAAAAGAAAAACATATAAGGGCATTTTAGAAATTAAAGATGAGAGTTAAGATGAAAAATCTTAAGTTATTAAAACATCTCTGAAAAATCACAATGGACTTACTTAAAGCTCAAAAATACTTGATTAATGAGGACTCCTAGAAGGAGGTGTTAAGGCTAGTTCAGTTTTGTTTTTTTAACCATGAGTACAAAGTTTCATTTGTGAGTTCACTGTATAAATGTAAATTCAACTCAACAGCCAAAACTGTCCTATTTAAATACCACTCACGTGGCTGGAAACTATGAAAATAAAAGTAGATCCAAAAAAATAGGAGAAAAAATGTATTCTACAATCCAAATGACAATTCTAAGTAACTTTAAGATTTAGATTTTTAACATAATATAGCAGGCTTTCTGCAGGAACTTCAGACCAAGAGGTCAAGGACAAAGGCCTATTTCAGAGATGTTGTCCTGAAAAAAGCCAGAGCCAGACAGAGAGCTGGACAATAAATACCAAAGGTCAGTGTTAGGATCATATTGTCAGTTTCACACCGGGTATTCTGTAGCTTTGGGAGCAAGGAAAGAAATCAGAGGCCAAGTGCAAAATGGTAGTTCTCCAAGGAGGAAGTAATAGATCATAATACTGCAGAAAAACAAAATTAACTAAATACGAATAAAAGTAAATATTACCAGACCTACATCTACAGTCTCCTTTTATTAAGCTGGAGTAAGTCACCCTATGGACATTGGGCTGCCCCATAAAACTGTCCTACTATTACTTAGAAAAGATCTACAGTTCTGGAAAGCTATGACTTGGGAGGACTCTTCTTCCCTGAAAAACACATCCAACTTGAAAGGTGTTCTCATTTTATGAATGAATGATATAGTCAGAGCTCCTTCACTGCATCTTCGCCTTGTATAACTGTTTCATTAGACTATGACTTTTAGATAAACAACTTTCCTGGGCAAGAAAAATATTGACAGAAGTGGCAAAATCTCCTGGGGAGAGAGATCACAAAGTTGTTACAGGCAACCTTCCTACCAGAGGGTCCTGTTGAAACCAAGTTCCATAAGATTCACCAGCTTTCCTTAGCAATTAATGTGAATAACAAGGTCTACAGAAAAGCTAAGAAGCCTACAGATAAACAAAGCGGCCTTTAAAAATATCTTACTACAAGTATACAGAAAATAGGCCAGATCTTCTTCCATTCACTTAACTTGAACCATATAAAAATGATTCCCTGGTGGCTCAGTGGTAAAGAATCGCCTGCCAAGGCAGGAGACACAGGAGATGTGGTTTTACCCCTGGGTCGGGAAGATCCGCTGGAGGAGGAAATGGCATCCCACTCCAGTATTCTTGCCGGAAATCCCATGGACAGAGGAGCCTGGCGGGCTACGCTGCATGGGCTTGCAGAGAGTTATACACGACTGAACACACCAGTACATATAAAAATTTTAACTACTCAGAGACCGGTCAATAATAAACACTAAAAGAATTTAAATTAGTTATTATATAAACTCTTGCAATTATCAATATATGGATATTCTCCAGTGAGGAATGCTTTGTATTTTCAGGCTACCTTCTCTTACTTCAGGAGCGCCTCTGGTTACATCAACCCCCTCAGCACACTTCTCAGACATTTCCCCAGTCTTGATGGTGAGCTTTTGTGCAGTCAAGGGCTAATTTAGCAGGCTTGGGGTACATTCCCTGTACATTCCAAAAGGAAGAACTTGCCCTTGACTGTCTTCTGGGAAAGAACCTCTGAGCCCCTGGAATTTTCTTCCTGATAAGGTTTTCTTTATATATCTGATATATTGGGTCACACCAGTTAGTTTATGCTCACAGTGTGATTTATACTGAATGTCTTTTTTATTTATGTGGGTCATGGGCCATGCTGTATCAGTTTGATCTCTGGAGGGGTTGGAGGTTGAGTAGCTAAAGTGGGTATGCATTCCATGCCTGTAAGACTGACCAGGGGAGGGGGTCTTGTAGGCATGGAATAAAAATTATGGACACCGAGGCATGGATGATGAATCCTGGTTGGCAATGTGTCATATGTGTTGTCCTACATCACCAATGGAAGAATCAAGAACATTCCTGTGCAACTCCACTGTGAGAGGACTACTAGACGCTCATACCTGGTGTCTCCTGGACTCTGCCCTATGTGCATTTTCCCTTTGCTGAAGTTAATGTGTACTTTCACGGAAATAAACTGAAACCACTAGTGTAACAGCTTTTCAGGATTCTATGACTCTTTCTGTGAATCATCAAACCCGAGGGTAGTGCTGGGGACCCTGACACAACTCCTAATGATATTTTCCATTTTCTTGCCTATACTGGAGAAAGCAGAAGCTGCAAATATTGTTCCCACTCTAACTATCCATATCAATATTTCCCTTTTCCCACCTCTAGCCTCATCCCTTCTTCTCCCACTACAGGTACTCAACATGTGACTATATTTTTGAGTGGGGAGTGTAAGTTTCTATTCCTATGTAAGTATTGCAATTATATGACAAAGATACTTAATCATTCCAAAATACAACAAAGAAATGGTTAAGGGTAATTTGAATCCCATACTATTTTCCAGTTATACAAAATTATTGCAAATTAATCATTCTAATCCTATTTTAAACAGTTTTTTCAGCAGAGTGCTCCATAATTTATGTAGTAAGGCCAGACCCATTCTCACTGAAAGTGAAAAGGAACACTGTTAAATAGTTTTCCATATAATGAAGCAAATCATTACATGGTCCTAAATATTAGGATGATTGAGTAGTTATTTATTAAGAACCAGAAATGACTTGGATGCTAAGAACCAACTGTAAGAAAAGTAGATTAGCCCACATATTAGAAGGAAATTTAAATCTAACTCCTACCAAAACTGAATCAAACACAGGCAAGGGACTGGGTCCTAAAGACATAACTGAAAAGACAAAGTTTCTACAGGAGAAATTATCCACTCCTCTTTGGTTAGCATAAATTAGTGTATTAGATTGTACCAGGTGGCCCTAGTGGTAAAGAACCCATCTGCCAATGTAGGAGACAAGAGACACGGGGTCAATCCCTGAGTCATGAAGATCCCCTGGATGAGGGCACGGCAACCCACTCCAGTATTCTTGCCTGGAGAATCCCAAGGACAGAGGAGCCTGGTGGCCTACAGTCCATAGAGTCACAAAGGGTCGGACGACTAAAGGGACTTAGCACACACATGCGTGCATACCACTGCCTAATCAGATAGCTGAGAAGGAATCCTGTATATCAGTATCTCCCAGATGTGCTGTTTGCTTCTTTTCTGCCTCACTAGATTTCTCATAAACAGTACTGGGTTGATTTGCACATAACTGCTTTCAAAATTTATGAACAACAACAATAAAGAGGTACTACAACATTGCCAGGATTTCTCTGGAAGAATGTGTGATTCTTTTTTCTATCAGCAATTTATTTGATGGTTATGCAGGTGAAGCCCACACATTCAATACACCAGGGAAAAAAATGTACAAAGTTAAAGTGTAGAGTTGAGCTGGCTGCAGCTGACAATTGCTTTTTGTGGGGAAACATTCTTTCTAGGTTAATATAAATACAGTGTAAGTCTTAGGATATGGCTCAATGACAAAGGATAAGCTGGATTTAAGCAACATAAACAGCAGATAGGCCACAGTCCCATGGAAACTGTTGAAGAGAGCAAAAGACTCAGTTACTCTAAGTTAATAATATTTACTTAGTCTTAACAAAGTAAGACTAAGGCAAAAATAAAGGCAAAAAAAAAAAGGTAATATAATCAGTGCCTTAGAATTAACTTGCTCTCTGTTTATATTTCCTGTTAACTTTCAGATTCATTATGAAATATTTAAGCCAAAAATTCTTCTGAAGCCTAACAAAATAGGTACTGTATAAATTTAAAGTGTTATGACAAAAAGCAGTATCTACTGATTGATTATATGGAAACTCTGGGAGATAACTATTGACTTTTTCACCCGGGTGGGGGTGGGGGCGGGGGGCATTAGTAGTGTTACTTTAAGGCAGTATATCTAAAATAACCAATAATTTTCCCTAAAATTTTATAAAATTGTATAATTTTCCCTAAAAATGTGGCACATAGAATAAAATAATTTTATACTTGATATCCTCAAAGTGAAAGTCACTCAGTCGTGTCCAACTCCTTGTGACCCCACGGACTACACAGTCCACGGAATTCTCCAGGCCAGAACACTGGAATAGGTAGCCATTCCCTTCTCCAGGGGATCTTCCCAACCCAGGGATCGAACCCATTGCAGGTGGATTCTTTACCAGCTGAGCCACCAGGAAGCCCAATATCCTCAAAGGACAACTTCAAATAAGAAATTCTTCTTGTTAACTTCTTAAGACCAGGAGCTGGGTACTGATGGCTACAAATTGGTTTCCTTTCTTTAAATTGGGAATAAGGATTCCTTTTTTCTTTCAAGATCCAGTGAACCAAACCGGGGGAAAATTAAAACCACAAAGTAAAAAAAAAAAAAAAAGATATTTAATTTACTTTAATTTTCAGAACTAAATAAATTTGCTGCATATATCAATTTAGAAAGTTAACTTAGGAAAAGGCAAAACAAAACTATCTTTCTTTCTTTTTTTCCTATAATACAGGCAGTTAAAGGGGGAAAAGGGAAGGGAAGGGGAGGGAAGGGAAAGGAAGGGGAAGGAAAAGTAGCAGAAGAGACAGATAGCCATGAGTGCAGCAATCAAGAGGGATGTCACCAGCAAAGGACAAAGTCAGGGAAAGACAGTGAAGGAGACGTGGAAGTTAGAGAGGCTGACGAGGCCTCACTAACTCATATTGAGAGGGCCTCATATTTGCTGAGAGGGCAAATATGTGCTGCAAGGCTTCAGGCTGAACTGCGACACACATAAAGGGCCCACTAAGAAAAAGACATTTGGTACAGAGTGACAGGGGCTCCCCAGGTGGCACTAGAGGTAAAGAAGCCAATTACCAACGCAGGAAACATAAGAGAAACAGGATCGATCCCCGGGTCGGGAAGATCCCCCTAGAGGAGGGCACAGAAACCCACTCCAGTGTTCTTGAGGAGAACTCCATGGACAGAGGAGCCTGGCGGGCTACAGTCATAGGGTTGCAGAGATGGACACGACTGAAACCAAGACGGACATGACTGAAGCGACTTAGCATGCATGCATAGAGTGACAGAGAATGACGTAAACACAACAATTTTTCTCTTAGAATATAAGTGGCCTTTAATGACTTTACTGTTAATTATTGGCTTTTTCTAGATATAAGTAATTACTACTTGGTCCCATCAGCTAAGGAATATAAAATACAAAACACCAAGCGCAGCTTACATCCTTACCATTTACTAGTACTTATATCAATATCTACATTTGAGGTTTTAAAGAATTATGGCTAACTTTTTGGTGAGGTGATGGTACCTGCAGTTAGGACTTTTAAGTCTTTATTTTTAGATGGGATGCTGAAACAGGCAGGTAGAATGATATGCTGAGATTTGTTTCAAAATAACCTTGTATAGGGATAGGCAGGCAAAAAGTGGGTGGGGGTATAGACTTGCTCTGAGTCAACTAATTGCTGAAGTTGCTGCTGCTGCTGCTGCTAAGTTGCGTCAGTCGAGTCCGACCCTGTGCGACTCCATAGACGGCAGCCCACCAGGCTCCCCTGTCCCTGGGCTTCTCCAGGCAAGAACACTGGAGTGGGTGAAGTTGATGATGGGGGTTCGTTATCTATTTTCTCTACTCTTACAGTGGCTGGATTTTGCATAATAAAGTTTAAAGATCTTATTTTCAAGTATAATTAATTTAAGAAAATTAAGGGGGCTTCCCTGGTGGCTCAGCAGTAAAAAAAAATCTACCTGCCAATGCAGGAGACGAGTTGGATCTCTGATTCGGGAAGATCCCACGTGCCGCGGAGCAACTAAACCCATGCACAGCTATTGGGCCTGTCTTCCAGGGCCCGGGAGCCACAGACACGGAAGCTCGCGTGCCCCAGAGCCTGTGCTCTGCGACCACCACAGTGAGAACGCGGGCACCCCAGCCAGAGAGTAGCCGCCGCTCGCCGCAACAAAGACTCAGCACGGCCAAAAGCAAAATTAATTAAGAAAATTATTTTTTAGCAAAAAGAAAACTAAGGATTAGGTTAAATTGGGTTAAGTTAGTCAGACCACTAAAACAATCTACTGTGTAAAATTAAATCTTTTAGATGAAAATAAGATTTGGTAGTAGTCAAGTTGAAGAAACAAACATAACAAACCTACAGCAAGTGTAAGAAATTTAATATACTCTTCTGAGAAGAAACAGTTTTGTACTTAAGACTTCTGAAATTCTTGACTTGACTGAATCTGACAGAGATCTTTTCATAAAATGTGAATTTATCAATGTATGCTCCTTAGGCAAATTTTAAGGCTGGCAGGCTCATCCAAACCACTCATTTCACTGTGGGCAAGGCCTAGGAAGGGCTAAGTGACTCATCAAAACTTTATTTTTTCAGAGTAAAAGTAGTACCAGAACCAAAAACTATAAAGTATGAGGATATACAAGAAGGAAACAATCATCCATAATTCCATCTATAATTATAACTCCTGTTAAATTTTGGTGTTTCCTAACAGCTTTTTTTAAACTCAGGTTTGACTCACCCTGCCCCCACATCTATTAACATGTTAAATACAAAAGTCTGTATATATTTTCCCCAATATAACTCTAAACATCTTTTCACATTGGCTCAGTCAGTAAAGAATCTGTGCAATGCAGGAGACCCGGGTTTGATTCCTGGGTCACGAAGATGCCCTGGAGAAGGAGATGGCAACCCACCCCAGTATTCTTGCCTGGAAAATCCTATGGACAGAGAAGCCTGGCAGGCTACAGTCCACGGGGTCACAAGAGTTAGACCCAACTTAGGGACTAAACCACCACCACCAATCGTTATTTTTAATGGTTGTTTAATATTTCATGGAATAGATACAGTTCACTAATTCATTCTCCTATAATATTGCAGTCATATTATTTCCAACTCTTCATTACTAAAGCTGCCATGAACATCTTTATACATAAAATGTCATTATGGTTAGGCATAACCCTAAAATTCATATTTGAGTTTTTTTAATAAGTAAAACTTCCTAATAGAAGCATATGTGACCTTTTGAAAATTTGTTAAGGGGCAAAACAAAGTCAGAGTCTACATTTTCTCTATGGAGCTAGCTCACAAACAGTAAAAATTACAAAATGAAGAGGACAGCTGAAAACTATTTTCAAGATTATTTTGGGCAAAACAATGCTTACATTGCTAGAGGCAAAAAAAAATTTTTTAACCAAAACTATACCCTACCTGTTGAAAAGCTTTTTCTGCTTGACGCTCAGCATCAATAACTTGTCTCTCAAGCTGTTGCATCTGAAATGTGAGAAAAGACATAAAAAATAGAAAAATTCATATTTCCCTTTTGGAATTCTTTAAGAACACTTAAAGTACTTCAATGGATAGTAATTACATAGAATTTAGCACATTAAAGGTTCTTTCAGGGCATATGTAAAAACTGATCAAACAAAATACCAAAATTTTGATACTATTTGCAATTTGTACTACGTGAGTATTAATCCAATAGAATTTTCTTCATTGGACTATATGTTAGAAATTACTAGTCATCATATTTTAAGAACACTAAAATCTAAGATAACAGTAAGACCTCAAATGTCATATTGCTTTGCTGATCAAAAAGTCCCAATGAAAATTAGGAATTTGAGCTGGTGGCTCAGATGGTAAAGAATCTGCCTGCAATGTGAGAGACCCAGGTTCGATCCCTGGGTTGGGAAAGTCATCTGGAGAAGGAATTGGCAATCCACGCCAGTATTTTTGCCTAGAGAATTCCATGGACAGAGGAGCCTGGCAGGCTACAGTCCATGGGGTCTCAAAGAGTTGGACATGAGTGAGCAACTAACATATAAACATTACTGTACATAAAACAGATAACCAACAAAGACATACTATATAGTACCGGACTATACTCAATATTTTGTAATAACCTATATGGGAAAAGAGTCTGATAAAGAATATACATGTACATACATATGTATGTAAACTGATGGGATGTCCCTGGTGGTCCAGGGCTAAGACTCTGCACTCCCAAAATTCAAGGAGCTCAGGTTCAATCGCTGCTTGGGAAACTAGATCCCACATGCTGCAACTAAGACCTAGTACAGCCAAATAAATAAATATTTTTTAAAAAACCTGAATCACTTGGTTGTATACCTGCAACTAACAACACTATAAATCAACTATACTTCAACAAAAAATAAATAATAAAAAAATTTTAAAAGAACAAAAAAAAAAGAAAAAAGATACACTGAAACAGGCTTAATATAGGGGGAAAAAGTCCCAGTGATATCAGAAAGAGGTGCATTTTCATAAGCTTCACAGGTGGTATGTGTCACAACTGAGTAGCTTTAATTCTTAAAGATTGTGATAGAAAGAAGATACTCTGATAAAATATACATATGTCCACAAAAGCATATGGCACAGAGGTTGAAAAAATATCTGGGTATTTTTTGAAAGTTCTGTGGATAATAAAATGTTTGAAGATTTCAGAGGGTGAGAAATTAAAAAAACTTTGGAGATTTTAAGTAAAATACTAAACTGAATATTGTAAGTAAAAAAGCAAAAGTCTTGAAAAGGATCTAATACAAAGTAACATAATACACAACCATGATGTAAAACTAAATTTTGAATTATTCTTTTCTGAGTGTTGAAGTCTGGTCAACACTGGAGCCATCTGTGGCTCAACCTATGCTCACTGTCACTTTTATTATTGGCTGACATTCTCAGATGCCCTGAACTTCTAGAGCATCTCAAACTCACAGCATCCTGGGTGTGATACAATGGCACCCACGGCTGATACAACAGATCACCCCCTTCTCAAAACCATGGAGGAGAGACCTCCTGCAGCAGGAAGCAAGGCTGCCAGCTCTGGACCACATGGGTGACAGGAATCCCAACTGAGGCATGTATTGTTCTCAGTGCCTGAAAGATGGTTTCCATTATGAACATATAATTTTTTAAAGCTGTACTGGTTGGGAGCATTTGCTGCATTGTGATATCTATGTTTGGGCAAATTACCAGTCGACACAGGTAAAACTCAAGACCATGATGAGCACCATCACTTCGCCCACCTAACAGAAAAGATCTCTTAAATATTTCAGAAGTGCAGCACATGGAACTTAGTAAAAGTATCTGCATTTTCTGTATCATCCATGAAAACCCAATGGCGTCACTGGGTACTCAAAGTATACGAAACACTGTGACAAAGCAGAGCACCATAATATTAAAAATGAAAAACAATGGTCTAAGATAAAAAATGACACGTGGACACAGATGAGGAAAATGTACAAATATGTCTCTGGAAAGCACAGCAACAGCCACAACTTGTTCTTTCTTGCACATCCCACCATATTTGCTGTCACTGAAAACTCAAGAGTATATTCAGTTTACTAAGGATGTATCTCAGCCCTTCTGTCTGGGCCACCCTGTGACATCTGGTAACCTTGATTTCATAACAGTAGAAGGAGCTGCTTTAACTATGGAGGCTATGAAAAGTATTAGAGACTTCTGAATAAGTCTGCATGCATGTGTGCTAAGTCACTCAGACGTGTCTAACTCTGGGACCCTGTGCACTGGAGCCCACCAGGCTCCTCTGTCCATGGGATTCTCCAGGCAAGAATACTGGAATGAGTTGCCATTTCCTTCTCCAGGGGAATAAGCCCGAAAAGTACACAAATCAAAGTGTGATTTGGAACTTATCAGAAGATACGCAGCTTAGCAGTCTGCCTGAAATATGCAGGAGTTCCTGCAGAAAGTAGAGGATTCCAAAGGAAGAATTCTATTTAACACAAAACCAACTACACATCTTATTCAAGAGACAATGTCTCATAACCCTGAGCAAGTAGTAGAAGGCTGCTGTTCAGATACAGCTATTACTTTTAATGGATTGACTCCCGAAAATACGATAGTAATGACATATGGTGTGCACCAGCCCAGAGCATTTGGACATTATTTTAGCAACACACTGATTTTCTTGTCTCCAGATGATTCAGAAAATCACACAGGACCAGGGAATAATAGAACTGTGCTGTCCAAGAGCACTTGAAATGTGGCTAGTCCAAATTGAAATGTGGTAGAACTGTAAAATACACACTTCATTCAATAACACAGTATTTGAAAACCTATTACAAAAATAATAAAAATCTCAGTAATTGTTCATATTGACTCACATTGAAATAATATTTTAATGTCACATTAAATAAAATATAATATTAAAATTAATTTAATCTACTGTTTCTTTTTCATATTATTAATGTTATTAGAAAATTTTAAATTACATATGTTTCTCACTTTATATTTCTATTGGATAATGAAAGTGTAAAACATTCCATTGTCACCATATATGGCAATTTAACTGCCTGTCCACATAGCAATATTTTTTTAAGGTAGTTTAGTTTATTGCAAGGATCTAGATTCTGGAAGAATTTTCAAATATTTGGATACATAAATAAGTATTTCCCAAGTGCATTCTCTGGACCTCAAATCACCTTTAATTTTTGTGAAGATATTTCCAGGTGGCACTAGTGGTAAAGAATCCACCTTCCAGTACAGGAGACGCAAGAAACACAGGTTTGATCCCTGAGTCGGGAAGATTCCCTGGAGAAGGAAATGGCAACCCACTCCAGTGTTCATGCCTAGATAATCTCATGGACAGAAAAGGCTGGTGGGCTACAGTCTATGAGGTCGCAAACAGTTGGACATGACTGAGCACATCAACACAACACATTTCATGTTTAATAAACAAGTACTGTTGTCTAAAGCATTTTATTGAGTCTGTTATAGACTATCATATTACATAAAGAAGTTGGACAAGCAATGTATCTCCTGTCTAGGATAGTCCTTAAACAAAAAAATTAACTGACATGCACACACTGACATCACACTCTCTCACTACTGACAATATGCTGACAATTGTCATTTCTACAATGCAACGACATTGTGTTTTCAGAGGAATTTCTACACTTGTGCAGCCTTAGCCTCAATTTTGAATATTTTTGAGATTTCCAGGGAAAACAGGAAAATCCACAAATGCGTTGCTGCTTCGTAAACTTTGGCTAGTGAAAATAAATGACTGACACACCTATGAGAATGGCCGAAATCCAGAACACCGACAATACCAAATGCTAGCAAGAATGTGGAAGAACAGGAACTCTCATTCACTGCATGCTTTCTTATAAAATTAAACATACTCTCAAAATACTATTCAGCAAGTGTGCTCCTCGGTATTTACCCAAAGGAGTTGAAAACTCATGTTCACATAAAAACTTTCACACAGATATTTACAGCAGTTTTATTCATAATTGCCAAACTTGGAAGCCATCAAGACTTCCTTCAATAGATGACTGGATAGATAAACTGTAGTATAACCAGACAACAAAATATTATTTACTGCTAAAAGGAAATGAGCTATCAAGCTATGAAAAGGCATGAAGGAAACTTAAAACATATTATTAAGTGAAAGAAGCCAAACTGAAATCAAGGCCACATGAAGTATGACTCCAACTACATAACATTCTGGAAAACTATGGAGACAATAGAAGGATCAGTGGTTGTGAGGGCAGGGCTGGGGGAGAGCGTGGAGAGGGATGAATAAGCAGAGCACATAAGCTTTTTAGGACAGTGAAAGTACTCTGCTGGAGACGGAAATGGCCACCCACCCTACTATTCTTGCCTGCAGAATTTCATGGACAGAGGCTACAGGCCATGGGGTCGCAAAAAGTCAGACATGACTGAGTGACTAACACCACTACACTAAATACTCTGTATGATACCATCATAATACACACGTCACTATACACTGTCCAAACCCATGGAATGTACAACACCAAGAGTGAAACTATGAACTCTGGGTGATGATAATGTGTCGATGTAGGTTGAACAATTTGTAACATGCACCACTCTGGTGAGGGATGTTAATAATGGGGATGGCTAACTATGGAGAACAGTGTGGAGATTCCTTTAAAAACTGGAAATAGAACTGCCATACAACCCAGCAATCCCACTGCTGGGCATACACATTGAGGAAACCAGAATTGAAAGAGATGTGTACCCCCATGTTCATTGCAGCACCTGTTTACAATAGCTAGGACACGGAAGCAACCTAGGTGGCCATCAGCAGACGTATGGATAAGAACGTTGTGGTACATACACACAATGGAATATTACTCAGCTATTAAAAAGAACGCAATTTAGTTAGTTCTAATGAGGTGGATGAAACTGGAGCCTATTATACAGAGTGAAGTAAGTTAGAAAGAAAAACACCAATATAGTATATTAATGCATATATATGGAATTTAGAA